GCAGTAAAGATGCTTCTATTCACTGCCCGAGAGATGATCACTGAATTGCGCCTGTGAAGTCCTGCGTTGCACTTGCAGTCATTCAGTGCTGTGTCAGTCCTGCTGGTACAGGTACATGAGAGGAGTTTTTCCTTCTCTGATATCATTGTTTGTTCGTCAAAGCTCACAGCGGATCTGGTTTGTATCAGCAGCAAATGTGAACCAAGCACCAACTACTCTACCTGAAAATGCAGTGACTTACTGCTTCTCATTTATCACCAGGTTATCTGAACACAACTCTGCTCTTAACAATTTATAGAACATATAGGTAATATCGCTTCAGTCCAGACTGATGCAGACTTATTTTTTTATATGAAAAAGACCCATATTGAATATAAGAAAAACAAGTTATTTCTTTCTCCTGGACCCTTAAATTCTACAAACACTGAACAAGCTTAGTCACTGGATAGTCATGTTATTAAAAGCATGATTATCTCGGTGATTCAGTTTAGACAATGTTGCTGGTTTATTTTGCACAACAGTTGGAACATATTTTCAGATACGATATTTGTACAATAAACATTTGTTGACGAGAGCGACAGGGTACAGTTTTAAAGGGCGTTACTTTTTTTTATTTGAAGCAGAAGGGTTTATTTAAGATTTATAATATAATAACTCACTGCATCAGTGGGTATTTGACACTTTTAATAACAACTTGCATTTATATACCGCCCTTCAAGCAGGGCAGCATCTCAGTGATGGATCCTGACGCTGAGCGGGGGGGGGGAGAAAGGTGACCAAAGAGGAAAATCTTCAGTTATGATCTACAAGAGGGGAAGGAGGGGGCAAGGCAGAGGGATTAGGAGAGTTCCAAAGTTTTGGGGTGTAGTGGCTGAAAGCGAGGCCACTGATGATATAATAGAGGGGATGAGGGACTAGCAGGCCAGAGCCAGGTGAGTGGAGGCAAGCGGGTAGTGGAGTGGGGCGAAAGCAGTTGGAAAGGTAGGGAAGAGTTAAAAACTCCAGCCTGTGTATAATGGCAAAAAATGGATTCAATATCTATATGCTCCCTCTTGGTGACATCGTCCGTAGACATGGGGTCAACTTCCACAAGTATGCGGATGACACCCAACTTTACCTCTGAACCTCCACCCTTGACTCCAAGACCACTGCTGCCCTGACAGAATGTCTGTCAGACATCAAGTCCTGGATGAGAACTAAATTTCTTCAGTTGAACCTCAACAACACCGAGGCTCTCCTGATTGGCTCTGATCAGCGCCTCCTCACCTCAGGCACTGACAGCATCACCATCCACGGTTGCACACTCCACCTTACCAAGCCAGTCCAGAACCTTGGCATCTTGTTTGACCCTCGACTATCCTTTCTACCTCACATCTGCACCATGACCCGCTCTGTCTTCCTCCCTCTCTGCAACATTGTCCAGCTCAGCCACTGTCTCACATCGCAGGCCACCGAAACCCTCATATATGCTTTCATTACATTGAGGCTCGACTACACAAACTCATTGCTTGTTGGCCTCCCCAACTCCTCCCTTCATAAGCTGTAGATCATCCAGAACTCTGCAGCCCGTGTCCTCTCCCGCACCAGGCTCCATGACCCTATCACCCCCATCCTCGACTCCACTGGCTTCCCATCATAGAGGATACAGTTCAAGATCCTGGTCCTCACCTTCAAAGCCCTCCATGGTCTTGCCCCCCCCCACTAACACTGCGACCTCCTAACCCCCTACTTGCTCCCGCTTGATCCCTCTGCTCAGTGGGCTCTTGCCTGCTTCACGTCCCCCACCTCACTTGCCTCACTATTGGCGGGTGGGCCTTCTGCCACTCTGTCCCCACCCTCTGGAACTTCATCGCACAGGCCCTCCACCTCGCCCCCTCCCTTGCCACCTTCAAAACTCATCTCAAGACCCTCCTCTTCAACCATGCTTTCAATCTCCCTCCTTCCCCCACTCCCCTCCCCAAACCCCACTGAGGGTCCGAAACTGTCTGTCCATCCAGCGCCTTGGGACATCCTCCTGATGTGAAAGGCACTACACAAATTAATTTTGTTGTTATTGTAAAATTCTGAACTCTGCAGTATGGTAACATCTCGGTATAAATGAATACAAATACAGTCAATTCAGTAATTTTTGACTTGAAACAGTGGGGTACATTTGGTGAACCCCCATAAACTTCATCCCATTTGTCAGTTGTAGGGTTACAATGTTAAAACCATTTCTTCCACGATAGCAAATTTGTGGCTGTCAATAACACTGATGGAAATCAAAGTTCAGCTGGCTGCCTTGTGACGTCCAGAACCAAGTTACCCCCAGAGGGCCCTGAGAGACAAAGCTCATCAATGCAGTGGTGAAAACGGGGAGCACAAAAGCTCAGTGAGTCTGACGCCATTACCAGAAATCCCATAACCAAGTGTACCATTCTACTTTTCCTACACCATTGTTCAATGGGGTCTAAATGTGTTTGTTAAATAATAATCCTTGCATTTCATACAGCGCTTTTATCATGTTGAGACGTCTCAGAAGCGCTTCACAGAATATATTGTAAAGTGGATTGATTGCATATTTTGTGGGTGGAATGCAGCAGCCATTTCACACAGCAGTATCCCAGTCGTGGATTGAGTGACCAAAGTATTATTTATAATTTCTATACTTATTTATTATCTTATCTGATATGTACAACAATAATAAATTATTATTTATTTTAAAGTGGGTGACATTTTCATCTCTGGATTAGAACAGCCTTACCCCTGGTATAGCGGAATTAAACATTGGCTAAGGTTACAATGACTCGCAGGGCATTTATTTTATAATACAATAATTGCATTCAACAAACTGAGCAATGTCAAGGAATGGATCTATTTTTGCATTCGGTGTCGACACCAATATGGAGTAAAGTGTTCTGTAGGCTCAAAGCACTTTTGTACTCATTGTCAACCACCCCCCAGCAGATCTGAGACTGAAAGAAATTGGAGTTCAAGTAAAAGATTACAAAACTGCACTTGCTGAAATATCCAATTTGGACTATTTGTTATGTTCTTTTGTAATGCATTTTATAATTCTTGGAACTCCATCTGAGACCTTTCGCCTCACCCCTTCAAGGCCCGTCTGACGTCCTCCTGCTTTGACCGCTCCTTCAGTCATCTTCGCCCCCCTCCTACCCGCTTTGCCCCCACCCCTCCCAAATCAAACCTGCAGCTTGAGACATCCCCTTGACATGAAATGCAATGCCAATGCAATTTGTTGCTGTCAAAAGCTGCACATGGGACTCAATTAATTTGAATTTCTTTTTAAAAAACATTCAAAACGTTGTCATTGTAAAATTCTGAACCCTTCAAATCATTTGAAATGACATCAACCACAATGTAAATACAACACTCATACAAGTTGTCCAGAAAATTCTAGATACACACCTTTTATTTGTTTACAGTGCAGACACCGCACTGTATATACTAAAAACAAACAGCTCCGCTGCCAAGTATTATTCTAAAAACAGTCTTGTAACATTTCACAATTTTTTCAACTTAGATAAGGATTGTGCTAAATTATTTTTTAAAAAAGATACGAAATACCAGCTTCAAATTACATAGATGAGCCAACTGAATTACTTTACATTTTTATTCCCTGCACCCAATTGTCACCTTTTGCCTCCTCTCTTAAATGCAATCTCTTATTGAAGAGAACTCCCTGAGAGTTGAGGAAAGCAAATGGAGAATTTATGAGAATAAAAAGCTGTGTATTTGAGCTGGCACTATTACGTTGGCAATGATTCTTCTTAAAAATAAATGAGGAAGGAATAATAATCCAACACAATGTAGCAGAAAAAACATTGATCATTGAATTGAGAAAATCTAATTTTATTACAGAAATTGAGGAAATCGTCAGTAATCCAGATTGCAATTGGTGTCTTGTAATATGTGTAAATCCTAAAGTTTAGAGTCACTAGTTCCCTTATTTAAACCTTACAATTCCACGCTCTTCCTCAGCCCAGTCAACTTCCCAGAATCCTGTTATGCTTGCTTCTCATTGTCAATGTTCAATTAAGTCTTAAAGCAACATGCAATATGTCTCAGTTGGTAGGACTCTAAGGTTATAAGGTTCTTGGATCTTTGAGCTTATTGTCCAGCCTAACACTTTAATGAGACGCAGGGGGAGAGCTGCATTGTCAGAGGTGCAGGCCTTCAGAAGAGATGTCTGTTCAAATGGAAATTAAAAGAATCTCGTAACACTATTCGAAAAGGAGTTTCTCCCAGATATAATCAGTTATTAAATTAATAGCGGTTTGTGTTACAATGTTGTGTGCAAATTGTCTGCTGCATTTGCTTAAAATTCTGCAAAGTGCTGAGATTATAAACGCTATATCAAATGCAAGGACTATCTTAGTACAATCAACAACTGTATATGAACATCTGCAGAGCACTTCATGAACACTCCCATACATTCAACAGAAAATCACTGTGTAAAATAACAGGCACAAAAACCACCGCCGACAAATAATACAGAACAGAAAATGCCAAGACTCAGTTTATATTTTGAAAACAAAATTGTATTACCTAATACCAGTATACAAAAGGGTTAAAATAACTACATTTTCAGCTTGCAGACAGACAAGAAAATATTTATTCAAATGTTATAACAGCAACCTGCTTCTCCGTATAAATCAAATGATACCAGCAGGTTGATAGAATGGTGCGCTTTTCAATGCATGAGAAATCGTGACAACATGCGATCCGTGCATAAATAGTTGGAACAGATTCCAAACTATAGTGTGTGCAGGCAGTACATTCACAGGCAATCTGCTTGCACCACTTTACTCCCAAAAGTGACATCTCATAACTTCCTGTACTATAACAGATGCATAAAACAGCTCATAACACATCCATTCAATAATAATAATAATCCTTGCATTTGATATAGCACTTTTCACGTCGAGAGGATGTCCCAAAGCGCTTCACAGAATATACTGTAAAGTGAATTGACTGTACATTTGTGGGCGAATGTGGCAACCAATTGTGCACAGCAATGTCCCATAAACAGTCGTGGATTGAAAATGACCAATCTATTATTGTTTTTGTGGAGGGATTATTATTAGGCTCTGTGTGGAGTAAGGAAACTTGCCCAAGGTTTCGCCCTGACCTGCCTGGAATTGAACTCAGGTCTCTCACTTGCAAAGCGAGTGCTCCAACTACTGAGCTACAGGACTCCACAAATATACAGATCTATTAAATATGCACACACTCTTTAAATAGTTACCTTTACTGAAGCAAATCACGTGTAAATAGGACTAACTTCAGCCCTTTCTGCAGAAAAATGGAAATTTACACCTGAATCAATTGTACATATGGAAGACTTAATATTTTACTACCACATTGCACCACTAACACATTGGGAATGGTTCTACATCCAAAGCTCCTTCGCACTCTCACTGTGGTTGTATCTGTTATAGGCCATTGCAGGTCTGGGCTTGGTTAATGCAGCAAGTGGAACTTTCCCAAGGAATAAATAACTTGGGGGAAGTCCACAAATAAGTTGTTCGTTACCATTTGCTCACAAGAGGGTGGGGCAAGCAAGTAAGCAAGTTTCAAGATTGATATATTATTGAAATGTAGGAAATCATTTTTCATATGCCTCCAGTTAGGTCAGACAGGTAAAAGTGCAACAGGATGCTTGTACCCAGCTAAGGACATCGTTATAAATTCTGCAAGAAAGTTTTAACCTGCAAAACAAAAACAAAAATTGGGGTTATCAACTTCTTTCACAGCAGATAAACTTGATAAAGGTAATCCACATTCTGAGTGAGAACTGTTCCCCAGGGTAGCTTTGTCGTGAACAAATTTGAAAACACATTCTCCTTTAGAAAAGTTAGGCTATAGAAAATTTTCTCTCCCTCAAAATTCATTGGAAAAAAACGCACTAAACTCATACTATAAAATACTAAAGCAGTCTCAAGAACAAATTAGATAGATTTCTGCTAGAAAATAATACCTCAGGATACAGCCTGTAGTTTGGGACACAACATGTCAAGCGACTGCCAAGATGGTGGAAGCCAAACTAGATGGACCTTGGTCTTCTTTCGCCTAGCAAATTCTTATGTTCTTAAGTCAGCCATTTTAATAAGTCTGATTCTCAGAAATGTGAACAATGCTCACGAGTGTATGCAATTATAATTGTATACAAGGATCATTTTCTTAACTTCAATCTCCGAGTGAGGACGGGCAGGAAGATAAAATAGCAGGATGTGCAAACATGGACAAATCACCACATAAAAACGTAGCAATCAGCTCCCTTGACCTCATTCCTCAGTTGGTAAAATCACCGTCTGGAGTGATGCTGAGATCTTAGCGTCAACATGAGGTCTCTGCAGAAATAGCTGATCTCAGCAAAAGTGCTGCAACTCTCTATAGTGCTTTCGGGAGAAGAATGAGAAAACACAACTGGGTTCTACTCGAGTCATTATTTGGGCCAACAGAAAAATGCGGCTGCACTTTTTCCGCAGAATCCGCTACAAAGGTAGTTTCTGACCCGGGGGCCTCCTGGCTGTTTATCTGATGTCACTGTGCCCTGGGCTGCGCCAGATGAGCAAGCAGCAAATGAGCTTCACTTGGAGGTTCTGATTGCCCGTGTGTGCGAGATTGTCTTTGTATGCATTTGTGAGCGTCTATGTGAGTATGTCTGCGTCTCCCTCTCCTTTGAGCGTCTCTATGTGAACATGCGTCTCTGAGAATGCATATGCCTCGGGACATCTTCCTGACGTGAAAGGCACTATACAAATGTAATTTTGTTGTTCTATGTATGTTTCTCTCTGAGTCTGTGAGTGTTTCTGTGTCTGAGCGTTGCTCTGTGTCCGCCTCTTTCGCTCTCTAGGTTTGTGTGCGGTGCTGGGCTCTGAGAGCTCCTGTAGCCTCGCTGGTGCCCACAAGCCCCAAAAGGCCACCCAATTTTTTTTAAATAAGCAATTAATATTTTTTTGCAACAATCTAATATGCGTTATTTCCTCATGTTTAGTTTTTATCAATAAAGTGAAAAAAATGTAGGTTAGCAGTAAAATGTACCTCTATAGCACCAATCAACTCCCTGCCATTTTCTACAAGATTTGTCAAAAATTTCCCCGCAATTTTAGGCAAACATTTCCACATTTTTCTATTGGCCCAGGTCATTATCCATCGGCCCCTGTTGAAAAGTATTTTTCTGAATGTTGAGTGAAAACAGAAACAAGCTTGCTTGTGATGCCTGCTCGAGGGGAATAAGCTGAATAATCAGTTGGATGAGACATTGGACACTGACGCCACAGAACCACATCACAATCAGAAGAAACGTATGTAACAACTCAAATTAAAAGAAAAAAAATTACCTTTTCTAGAATGTCCTCTTGTTTAATTTTGTCATTTTTAAAATCGTCATTGACATCCAGCACCAGAATAGGCAAATTCTTCAAGCAGTCAAAGTCAAGCCTGAAAGTGAAGTGAGTCAGTGAAGGATGAATAAATAATATCGGTACAGATGGTGAACTCTCCCTCCCAATAAACCCACAAGTTAAGATATCAATCACTCTTAGAAATGCCTCAGTGGGCTTTCCTGTATGTGGTCCTGAAAGGAAATTCATTTTATAGCCAATTTGGGGCGAATGTTCCTTCTGTAACTTCTCAAGATATTATGCTCCGACACATAGTAAGTTATGAATTTCTTGCAGATTTTGTATAAAGGATAACTAACTAACAATTTCAAATGGGCAGCTTTGTACTTCATGGACATTGCATGGGATGGAATGCGTGGGCAACTGAAAGCACAAGAAGTAGCTTGGCCATGAAAATTTAGGACAAATGAAGCCGCTCACCTCATTGTTCGTTCATGAAGCCAGGATTCATGCTTGTCGTGTAGCTTTTCTAAATACTCCATCTCTATCCCTTGCTCCTCATCCCGACCTCTCAGGTGAAGCCGATCCATGCATTTCTAATAGAAACCAAAGGGAAATGAGCTTCTTCTGTTTGCACAAGTCAAGGAAAACAATGCCAGATGTAAGACACTGCTCAACAGGTGAAAACGGTCGGTTACTTACTTCAGGGGTGGCTCGGAGATAAATCATGGCATCCAACTCGATTTGTGAACCAAACTGTTGTAACAACCAATAATGCCAGTCTTGGTAAATGGCCCATTCAGTTTCATTGAGGTCTCCTGATTCAAACAGGTTTGAAGCAAATATATATCTTTTTTCAAAAAGAAGAGAAAGAGACGTTCATTAGCATTGTGAGCTCTGAATGTTTATTTCCCAACACGAAAAGCACCTTAAAGTATGGCAACCTCACACAGACAGCAGGCAGCTCCTAGTTCTAATTAACCAAATTTACAAAAAAATATTGCTGAAAGAGGCCGTAATCAAAATAAATTAAACCTTTGAAGGAAAAAATCCAGTAGAAAATTACACAGCTTCAATGCTGCAAATTAAAGTTCAGTGGCTCTTCCTCACCTGTCACTGTACACTGATCTTTCAAAGAACTGCACGGGATGTTCTGCCTCCCGAAGCTTGGGCGAGGTTGGTTTAATCTGTGCTCGGATCCGACTGAGACAAGCGTAGGTTTGGAATGTATATGCCCACCTACTGGGCTTGTCATAGAGCATCTGCAGGAGATTCCCACCACTTTTCTGGGACGCTGAAAGTTCCTTTGAGGACAAGACAAATCTGATTACAGAAAAACTCATTCCAAGGCACCAATTGTTACAGTTGTGGAATTGGCGCTTACAGGTTAAAAATCTATTACTACAGTATAAGTGTGCACCGGAGAAGACAACTCCTCTCACTTTCGAATAGTCTGCTAACATGGTCTCAGGGACCTACACCTAACCTGAACCCAACACCTTACAAAGAGAAAAGAAAACTGGAAAGGAAAAACATACAGAATCATCCAACTTTGGCTTTCAAAATCTAAACTCGATGTCACAAAATTATTTTTAACCATGGAGCTCCACCTATGATTCTCAATTTATACAACAGGAAACTAAAAATAACTTGTCCTCTTACTGTAAGAACTCCCATTGGGCTTTTCTTAACTACAACGCTTTTAAAAAAAAGTCCAGGGAAGAAATTTTATCAACAGTGATTTTGAATGCATAAAACATGATTGTAGCATTTCTGTTAACAGTTACAATACAAAATTACATTTGTATAGTGCTTTTCAGGTCAGGAGGATGTCCCAAGGTGCTGGACAAATCTAAGTGCAACAATTGTAATTTCAGATCATTGAAACATTTTGTGCAAGTGTGAATTAAGTGTACTGTACCAATCAATTTTTACCTCAAATTCATCCTCACTTGCTTGCACGTTGCACCACTTTGCAATGGGCTCAGGGATGACTTCCCATTCATTGCTGGCAGCTTCCAACATACGGACAAAGGTTGATTTTCCTGCAGCTGTTAAAATACAATTATAAATAAGCTTCATCAATAGATTTAACTGACTTTTAAGGTAATTGGAGCTGTACTTTTATTAAATGAAGCAGATCACAGGGTAAAACAGATCTGCAATTGTATATCTCAATCTAACGACTGACCACAATTATACCAACTGTACTATTACAATCTGTGTCATTTAAGTCCAATTTATAGCATAAAACTAGTTTTCATTGATCATTGCAAAAATGCCAAGTGTTAAATACTAATCAGAAATATTAAACCTCATTAATAGTGGTTACTTTATTGCAAGATGCTGGACAGGTATAAACAATGTTTAAGTAACTCAAAAGTCCAGACTGATAAATCACTTGGTGACGAAAGCCAATAGGTCGGAACGTTTACTGTGTACATGTGCATTATTTTATTATCACTACTTCACTAAGTTGCATATACGAAAGAGAAAAATGTGTGTCCAAGTATATCGTACTTGAGGACTGGGCTCGGTGGCTGCAACTGCAGATATTCTTGGAAACGAGAAGATTATAAAAACAGTCAATCAATAAAAAAAGTAAGAATAAAAATGACAAAAAAAACTTCCCTTCACCCAAAGGTGATAGAATGTATGGGGTGGGGTCTGTGTGTGTGACTGTGGGTCACGTCCGATAGCAAATTCCCGCCAACTGCTAAAGAGGATTTGTAATGAAGTCACAGCAATGTCTAAAGCACATTTCTTTCTGGACTGAGATCAAAACTCGCTCAGGTCCAACTCGCCCCCAATCCTGAAATCATTGTAACTGTGAGAAAATACAGACATGAGGGGAGGGATGATTTACCCTCAGATCCCAGGAAAGGAATCCGTGTCCATGAACCCACAGCGCGCCAAAAGCTGCCTTTGGCGCCAAGTGCTCCAACACCAACATCAGACTCAACTAACACTGAACTAAGTTTTATTTCGGGGGAAAAAGTTACGTTTCAGTCACGAAACAGCAGAGGGGTATTAGCAATTACACACGAGTGTGTTTCAAACCCAACTCAAACCCGCGCTTTACCCCAAAATAGTGATCCGGAGAGATTACAAGTCGTGTCCATTACATTTGATCTATTCATTTATTATTTTTTTTTAAAATCATTTTGCTCACCAATGTTTCCCTCGATGGAGATCTTCCTCGCGGACTTCTCAAAGCTGTTGTTGAAGTCGGGGCTGACGCACATTCTCTTGGGGGGGGTCGCCATGGCGGCTGTCCCTCACGGAGCACTCCCGGCGCTGGTCTCGCGGGTCTCGGTCTCGCGGGTCTCCGAACGGCTTCTTTTTTCAAACTGTTGGCGCGTTCCGCGCGCGCTTCACATTTGAAGCCGTGGGGAGGCGGACGGGGCGGGGCCTGCGGGAGGGGGCGGGGCCTGCGCTCCGCCCCGCCCCCGCCCCGACCTCCTTATTAGGGCCGGGAACCCGCTGGTCCTCTCCACCTGGAAGAGCAAAGCGCCGCTGATTTGCATTGAATTCGAATATTCCGCCCCCCCCCCCACCCCCCGCCCCCAATATTTTAAATATATATTTTTTAAAAAAGAACCGTTACCCGCACCAACACAGATATTTGTTTATTTGAGGTAACTCCACACCCACTGATGGAGATGAAGCAGAGGGATGTCTCCAATTCATACCCTTGTCTGATGCTGGCATGATAATCAATATTCCATGAAAGAATATCAGTATTGACCAAAGCCTCTCTCCGGATTTGAAATGTGTCATCTGTACTTAATCTCAGATTGGCAGTCAGTTCCTGGACTTGTCTAACCTTGTTCAGGATGATGGGACCTCAAGCGATCCAGGATGCTACCCCACATGAAAGGCACTTTATAAATGCAAGTTGTTGTTATTGTAGTTTGAACTCATTTCTGACCAGGAGGTGTGCCAATCTATTGTTTATGGTTCTACTTGAGAACCACAAATGTGTGCTGAGAACTGTCGTAAATGGGAGACTCTTCAAGCACCTATGACACACTGGCAATATTTTCCTTCATAGAATCATAGAAAATTACAGCGCAAAAGGAGACCATTCAGCACGTCAAGCCTGCACCAGCCCTCAGGGCAAACTGAGGTGGGTGGGGGGGATGCAAATTAACAGCAAATTGCATTTCTATAAAATGCCTTTCACGTCAGGAGGATGTTCCGATTGAGGAAGAATATGCTGGAAAATTCCGCAGCAGGAGACCGAATCGACATCTGAAAGAGAAACGGGTTTCTTCTTCACGCTTCCACTCTTCGCGAGACACATTCCTGCCTGAACCTTCATTAAAAATGGTTTCAAAATCCATCACCTTCCCAACACACACACACAAACACACACAAGGAGGGACTGACTGCAAACCACCATTTTAGCTCTCTGCCTCCAGCCTGAATTGCCCATCTCCTCACTCTCAGCCACGCCATTTAAAATCACACAAACTCGCCAACATTTTTTGTACCAAATCAAGAGTTGACTAAGGGGAGTATTTTTTTTTCCCTTTTAAAAAGCACCAACTGTCGGCCTTTTTGAAGCGGCGAGGAAGGAATACGTTTGTAGCCCAAATTCACCCATCACCAGCCCAAAAGTAGCCCAATTTCATGCGTTTACCTGCTCATATGGGGTAGCGGCAGAATGGAAGGTTTGGGTTCGAATGCTTCTGAAACTGTGCAAGCAAAGATCGGGGGGGGCACGTTTTGTAGGTTTAAATTAAAAATGTATTTGAAAATACTTATGCGGCGGTCCGAAGGCGTTATCCGCACGCACAGAACCAACGCCCGCCCCATTGGGCGTGAAACCCGCCCAATCAGGTGACGCATGCGTGTGGAGGCGCTAAAGGTCAACGAGCGCGCGCTCTTCCCTCCCGCTTGCATCAGATTGCAGGACGGTTAGGCGCATGCGCGCAGCAGTGAAGCGGGAACGGTGACGTGTGTGGACTCAGTGGCAAACCCTTCCCCCCACACCCACTCACATCATTCACTCGCTCGAGAGAGCGCATGCGCAATAGGCCGTTTCTGTTTCCTGCCGGCGGAAGGTTCCATCCACGCGCTCGGAGGAGGAGGAGAAAAAGAAAGGAGACGCGGCGCCAACCGACACGATCCGGCCGTTGGTTCCCCATCCGCCTTCCCTCCCTCCGCGCCTGCCAGTTGCGAACGAAGCCGTCCAAGGCCTGAGACGAGCGTCCCTGATCGGACCAAGTCGGACACCAACGCTCTTCACCAGTGAGTGTGTGCGTGAGTCCACAAGTTGGCGGCTTTTTATTTTTTTTCCGTCTCTTTCTCTCAGGGCTCGAGTAGTGCGCGCGGTCTAGGCCTTAGGCCTCACTTTCTGTCGGTTCTTTCGTCTCCTCGCCTTTTCCCCGCCCGCTTCCTCTCCTCGGGATTCTCTCACGCGCGAGAGAGCAAAGTCGGGGACTCGACCGAGAATCCCCGCCCGAGATGAGGGGGTGTGTGGGGGGGGGGAGAAGTTATAGGTTTTTTTTAACCTCTCGACGTGGAATATCCGCAAGCACAACGGAATTGGTTCGCGGCCCACGCTTCTCCCCCCGCCCCCCCTCCCTTTTTGTGTGTGTGTAACGAGGTAAAAACATCCCCTTTAACCCTCGTATCGATTTTTTTAAACGTAAAGTTCCTTTGTTAACGGTCGGCTAAGCGAGTCGAGTTAAGTTTTGTTTCCACATGAGAGAGAGCGAGAGGGAGAGAAGGGGGGGAGGGAGCCGAGTAATCCAGTCAGCTTCTTTTTTTTCGCCTTTTTTTTGTTCGCCTGTTTTTTTCGTCGCGTAGATTCATTGCGGAGTGTTTACTCCGGATCCCGAAGCCACTTATGTAATGGTCGATGTTTGTGAAGGGGCGGAAGGCCGCACGGGTTATTTTCCCTTTTTCGATGAATACTGCAACCCCTCTTCGGCGCGCACCCCCCCCTCATACACCCCCCCCCCCCCCCCGCGGCCCTCATAGAACCCCCCCCCCCCCCGCGGCCCTCATAGAACCCCCCCCACCCGCGGCCCTCATACACCCCCCCCCCCCCGCGGCCCTCAAAGAACCCCCTCCCCCCCCGCGGCCCTCATAGACCCCCTCCCCCCCAGCGGGAAGTGAGCTTGTTTGTCTCCGCCATGGTTTAGAGCTGCTTTCCCCTCCCCCGCCACCACATTGCACGCTTTAGGGACTCTCACAAGCCCAAGGCTCTCGCCAACCCGCGCCTTGAACTCCCGCGATTAAGTGAGCCGAGCTCCGGGGGGGGGGGGGGGTGGGGGAGGTGGGGCGGGGGGTGGAGGTGCAGTCCTTTATTTAGACGGACGCCAACTCTCCCATTACAGTATTTGGAGCGCTCGGTAGTTTGGTTTCGAGACTTAAAAGCGTGGCGATGGCTGCGTTTTCTCTTGTGCGTCACTTGTTCTCTTGTCATTCTGACCAAAGACCAATCTTACGATTTAGTTTAAAAACACTCAGAAAATGGTGTTTTTTATTTTCTGTTTTCCACATCAAAATGTCTAAATTTCTTCAGGTTAGATTCATTGTTTTGGTGGCAGAACATTTCACAATTGGTCGTTTCTTTCTCATTCTGTGTTATCGGTATAAATCTTTTGAAGAAGCACTTTAGATAGCTACTTTCAAGCGTTCCTGCTTTCAGTGCACTTTCTGGCCCTTGCACTCCTGAGCAATGTAAAAACATGTTTGATAGCTGGTCCTTTCTGAACCTTTGGCCTCCTTCCAGCTCTACTACCATTGAAATCTATTTTATCAATGCAGTTGTCATTGCTGTACTAAAACTGGGTTTGTTCCTTTTGATTACCTTCCACACATTCCCAAATCAGAATTAGATGTACTGTCCCAACTTTCCATGCTCCCCCTTACCCCACACAATACATTTTTTAACTTCGCTTTTGAGGTATCCAGCATATTTGATTCCAATGTATGTTAAAGAGATTTTAAAAAATTAAAAGTAAAAGCTTATAAATAAACCTGTTATTAGGCTTTCGTGATAAAAATAGGCAGAACTTGTTTAAAAGGTTGAGTTTAAAATATTAATCTTTGATTTGAGCCACATCTAAGTAACTTTCTGTTTCCTTCCCAGGATTTTTAAAGAGACTATTATAGCGTCTAAAAGCAGTCATGTCTAGTTCAGAAGGTGAAGGATTTGTTGTCCGTGTTCGAGGATTGCCTTGGTCTTGTGCTCCTGATGAAGTACTGAACTTTTTTTCTGGTATGTTGAATTTAAAGTATAACGCAAGCGAACCAAGTAATTACTGTTTTTTGCACTGTACAGAGAAAGATGACCACATTATTGCCTTCGTGAAATTTGGTCAAAATCTGTTTGGTATATTCTAGAAAATCGATCATGTTATGGGTCTTATTTTGTAATGGAAAGTTTGTGGTTTCATAAATAATTTTTGAATTTACATGTCCCCTAAAGTATTGTGACCTTGCACTGTATGCTATTTCAGTGCCTTAAACATTGTGAATGCCATAATTTGCCCACATAGATGTTTTCAAGTTATTTGATTAGAAAATTCAGTTAGTTTATAAAGGTTCTCTGCAAATTAAAAAGACAGTTATTTTGGTTTATTGCCCTGACATTTCGAGGATTTCCAATAACTGGAATAGCTTACACAGTTCAGATGATCCACTGTGCATAGTTACCTACCTTTTTGTTAAACATTATGTCTCCAAGAAACCACGATCTCTTCTGGAGTACAGCTCCACAGGCACAGGTTGCCTTTTGTTGCCTCAGGTTGCGCTATGTAAGTGCAAGTTGTTATCTCATCTAAGTAATCTTAGGCTCAGCTCAACGTGTGAGTGGGTCATTCAACCAGTTCACAGCAGAGACTGATATTGTCACAAAAAACATTTTCCAGTAGATTAATACTTTCGAAACAATACTCAGGAAAACATGTTCACAACTTTCTTCCTTGAATATTGTTGTTCATTAATGCTCATCACGAGATTTTTGGGCAATTGGTCTTTTGTGAATTATACATTTTCACAATAATGCTGAAAAGCGCTCTTGAGTTGCTGCCCTGCATGAAGGGCACAATACAAGTTATTGTTTAATTTTTGAATATGTTGATTTTGGTCATCAATTATTTGGAGTTGCCTGTAATACTGATTTTGCCTGTACTTATATAACGCTTGCAAGTAAATTTTCTTTGTTTGCATTTCAGACTGCAAAATCTTAAATGATGCTTCTGGAATACATTTTACATACACTAGAGAAGGTCGTCCTAGTGGAGAAGCTTTCATTGAATTGGAATCTGAAGATGAAGTTAAGATTGCTTTGAAAAAAGACAAAGAAAGCATGGGTCACAGATATGTAGAAGGTGGGTTCAGCAATTTCTGGGTGTGCTCTTACTGAAATAAAATATGAGTAAATTTCTCCTTTTGTATCTTTTTTTAACCATTCTCTATAATCTACAAGCACAAAGTAATATCATACAGCAAGTTTATCTCCTAAGTAGCTTATATAGTGTTAGTATGCAAGACCACTGTATATTTTCTAAGACTTAATATAGGCTATATATTTACTTTCTTTAATTGCTTTCTTTTAATTTTTGAACTTTCTAGAGAATTTTGAAACGTTACAACCGTATTTTCTTTTTAAATATAGTTTTTAAATCCAACAACATTGAAATGGACTGGGTTCTGAAACACACTGGCCCCAACAGCCCTGATTCCTCAAATGATGGTTGTGTTCGCCTTAGGGGCCTGCCATTTGGATGCAGTAAGGAAGAAATACTACAGTTTTTTTCAGGTATGCCAATTAGATTTTTTTTGCTCTAAATGTTGTTACACTTTGGTCACCTTAAAAACTTGGGAAAGTTTTTCAAGTCCATTCACATAATTAAGTACATATGCTTTCTCTTAATGTATGGTATTGCTATTGTGTTAAAGATCACATACTGTATTAATTTCCAGTTGACAAAAAGGTAACGTATTCTTTTTTTTACGTTTTTAATTTGGCCTAGTTTAGATCTGATTAACTATTTTGGATTCTCATTTTTAGAATTCAGATAAAAATCCTGTGGGGGGGAAAAAAAGTTGTATTATAAATATCTGGTCTGGGTCCCAGTAAAGAACAGGATAAAACTGCCCACATCAGTTTCAACATAATGATGTATGCCGGCAACTCCTAACCCCCCCCAAATTTTGGTTCTGATCTTGGTTATCACTTCTGGAAAGTGTGATGTCCAATGTCTCCCTGCAGGGATGGGATGTTACTGTTTGTATGGTTTACATAGATACAGGTGCAATTAAAACATCATCTGAGTCCAATAGCTAATTGAGAATTGAACACAAAAAATTGTAAACTAACTGAAAGATGTTAAGCTCAGGACATAGCCCACTTTTGATTGAGACTCTAAATTGTTGTTTGGCATCAATATTCTGCTCAATGTTATTATAAATTAAACAGAAGTGTAAATTTAGAACTAAATTTGCCTTAATGTTGAGATTAATAAGTATATACTAAATTAGGTTTTTAAATTTTACAACAACACCTCAAGACAGATTTTCCCAGTACAGTGTAAATAACTTAATTGGAAGGAGCATTATATTTTTGTCGAGGAATGTTATAATGTTTAAAATGTTTAGTTTTAAATTAGTCAAACCGGAATTGCATCTTTGAAAATGGTCATGGCCATGACAAATATTGCCTTGGAGAAGATGGGTACAATATGGGAGAAGTAAGGCAAAAGTAATTCTAGCACCTTGCAGGTATTCTAGTACCTTGCAGTAATTCGTTGAAATCCTTCATAAATCATCAGCAAAAGTTTTAAAACAAACTTATATTCCCAGTAGCAGATATAACACATTGGTGTAGTATTTAGCTACACAGATGGTCTAGCGGTGAGGCACGACAATTGATCTTGGGTGTTCTGGATTCAGAGGAGATAGGGGGAGAGAATGGTCACACTTCCCTTTCTTAATTATTGCTGAGTGCATGCCAACATTTGTTTGACCCAACATTCAAAAGGCAACACTTGCTTTTCCAGACATGCATGTGTTAATAAAATGGCTGTTCTTGTCAGCAGCTCACCAGCACCTCAATTATGCTATCACTCGAGTACAAGTTAAGGGGAGAAATTGTTGGTTTATTTCCATTAAGTATCATTCTCTGTTCTTGTGAAATTAAAATGTAATTGTTTCAATCTGCTTATTTTGAACAAAGTTCTTTTCTTGATTTAGTGTGTTGCATATGTAGCTCGATAATAGATTCCTAAATGTATTTCTCAGATTATAATATAACTGCTTCTACTTGAAACTGTTATCAAATTTTGCTTTGTGCTAAGGTGTTATGTGACACTAGTTGCTGTGGTTCAGTCTATCCAGGAAGTTGGAGTTCCCTGTGATTGGTTAGGCACTTTGATATTTATGTGCAGAACGAATGTCACACAACACTTTAGTTGAATATTTATGTGAGCTACAGTAGTTTGCACTGATAAATACAAAGTCATAAGTAATAGTCATGACTGGGCATGTGCACCCTTTAATACGATCCCCTACTGGGGTTATTTGTCCTTGGGTTGAAGGGTTGGAAATCGTGCCAAATGGGATAACATTGCCGGTGGACTTCCAGGGGAGGAGCACGGGGGAGGCCTTCGTGCAGTTTGCCACACAGGAAATAGCTGAAAAGGCTCTAAAGAAACACAAGGAAAGAATAGGGCACAGGTGGGGATGGATGGATGAGTCACTTTTCTTATGGTATATGATCGTCATCTAGTACAAGTGCTGTAGTGGTTATGGCACATGCTTCATCTGGATATATTTGTATGTCTTTTGGTTGGGTTTAAACAGGCTTGTCACAATTTACAACGTTGATACCATAAGAAAATGTGACTAAGCATAATTTTAACTGTTTCACCAATATTAGCACAATACAACAGCTGTAATTTTTGTTTTGTGAGAAATAACTACATGTAAACTACTTCAAGTTCAAGAAAACTTCAACCCTTAAATCACTGGTGACTTAAATCATGCTTGTCATTATAATCTGAGTTCTGAATCCAGCTATGCTACCTGCACTGGTATTTTTCTTAAGGCTAGTGTCTAGATCACTTGCTGGTTCTTGAGATGTGCTGCAATCGTGGATTTTTTTTCCCCTTTTGCAAGTAACCTGTGGCCAGTGCACAACTAACCCAAGCTGTTAAAAAGCTGACGGATATCTTGATTATAATGACAAGTGGTCTTTCAGCCCAGTTTAAATTTTTTTTGTTGCCTTCTTTTCCAATTGTGTATTTTTGCTGCTTTACAATAGAACTGAATTAATAATCAACATACATAATTTTAAGATGGGAATTTGGCACAACTGAGTGGCACAGTTATTTTTACAACGTTATACTTTCACTTTTGGACCCTTTTCAGTTTTTTGTTCCAGCTTTGAAGAGATGACCATCTCATCTCCTCTTTCAGGCTGTTGGAAGAATTTTCCTTTGCATAAGATATAAGCACTGGTTTAAGGACAAAAAATGGGTATAATTTAAACTTACACTTAAAAATATGGGTACTAAAAGAGACTTAATTTCAATTAAGTTGTGTAGAAAAATAATAAAATTCTGAAAATGTCGTGCTCGTGCATTGGGAGGGGTTAGTGTTGCGGTTGAGTTCAGGCAATTGTCAAAGTAATGTTAAGTGAACATTGAATTGCATTTGACCTGTAACATACCTGAGAAATGCTCAATATGAGCAGAAATCAAATAATAGAAAGTTCAGTCACAAGCACTGTTGAATCATTTTTGAAAAAAAACATTCACTGCATGTGCAACTTTGAATTGCTATCTTCTTAGTAAAATTTGGTAACCTTCCACGTTCATGTAACCTCCAGATACAAATGTGATCATCGGATGGAGGGGGAGAAAGAGAATGGAATAATCTAGAATGCTTTACTTTTATAATATGTATGCCATTGTGTAGCTATTTTGATTGGTTTGTCTCTACACCCCCCTCTCTTTCCTCTGCCCATAACACAAGGTCTTAAATATTGTTTTCTGCTTTCCAGTTTTAATATTTATTGTTAAAATGGATCTTAGAACTTAAATAGAACTTGTCACGGTGGTCTTGTTGGATTCGACAATGTCCAAGCTTGATTCTTTGACAAAGACATGAGTGTTTTTCATAAGCACTCTGTTAGCTGCAGGTCAGAACACCATTGTAACCTTTTGCTGTGTGACCATTTTGCAGAATAATACTAGGGTTCAGATTCACTATGGGTCCTTGCAGAGTCAGGTGAGCCTTTCATTTCTGATCAAGCAGTTTTTTCTCTCCTCTTTAATAAACAATTGGCTGAACCCATTGTCTGAATCAATACTGAGTAGCTAATAATTTCTATAGTGATTTGAATTTAACCACATTTTCCCGCTGAAAGAAAAAGATGTACCCCTAAGCGCTAGACCTTATATTTTTGTAATAGTGGAGAATCATGGGGGGCCTTAATGAGTTGTGCCCCTGATTGTATAACTTAGTGTTCCCTGTTCTTGTCTCTTCTCCGATGATTGCATGTCTTGTTTGTATGTGGAGGCTTTTTTTAAAGAAAGAGGAATGTGGTGCCAGTTGGTAGAAAACTAAATACCAGTTTGTTTGTTCTGGTTTTGTATTTTGCCAGAAAATTACTGCTACTGTTCTTTTGTGACATGTACATTTATTTGCAAAGACAAATTCATTGTATGATGTGTTGCTTTGCTTACATTTAGAAAAATACCTCCCATTCCTTTTAGAATTACATATAATGCAGCTGAATATAGATCATGAGTTATAAAGTATAAGTAAAGCTGAGCAAATGATACCAGTGTCCAATTAAAATAATTTCCTAAAACGTCATTTTGGTTCAGAATCTGAGCTTCTAACTTTGCATTTTAAAAACTTTTTAGGTGACTAACTTAGGGCACATATAGAGAAAATAGTATGTATTATTAAATTTTAAAGGGGTTATTTAAGTGTATTCTTAATCTGGACTATTAAACAGGATTGATTTGTAGTCTTAGATTTTTAAATTCAGAGTGTTGTAGCTAAAATTCTTTGTCTCTTCCACCCAATTCCAAGCAGAGGGAACATCTGGGACATACTCTGTTCAAAGGACTACCACATTTCTTACCTGAAGACATTTTAAATAATATTACCTTGTTGTAAATATCATTTTATAAGCCCGTATGGATGTTGATGTTTAATATGTCTGCTTTCTTGCAAAGATGTTCTGGGAGGGGTGGTGGATGTGACTCAATATGAATGGCTTTTTTAGAGCAACCGGGTGGCTGATCTGGAGTTGCCCAGCCCTTGAGAAAATCTGTCTGCAAGGTAACCTGGCTGTCAGGACTTTCTGAGGTTGGGTAGTTGTGAAGCCACCCTGGTCTGTCTGGAACTAAGTTTATTGGAACAGCTTCTACACCCCCTCCTACAACATGCATTGCCTGAGCATGTGCGGAGGTGTGAAATACTGGCCTCATTGAGGGTACAAAAACTGATGTTTATAACCAGGTGACTTTAATGAGTACGTGTCTCTTTCGGGAGTTTGGAGAGCTTTGAACAGAAAGTAACTCCTCTTCTCTTCCCCCTCCCTCCCCAACAATACTTTCGCTCAATCTTGGTGTAGACTGTGCATATTTAGAATACTTCTAATTTCAGTGGTACGCGTGTCAATTTGTCACATTTGCATTGCATTTAAATTAAGTGAAAATGTTTTAATTATTATAAAGACATTGTATTGAATAATCTTCTAGGTATATTGAAATTTTCAAGAGCAGCCGGGCTGAAGTGCGCACCCACTATGACCCTCCCAGGAGACCAATATCTGGTCAACGGCCAGGTCCTTATGATAGACCAATGGGAGGGAGAGGTTACTCCAGTCGATTGGGGCCTTATGAGAAGATGAGGCGTTCTGCTTATGGTGGTGGTAAGTAAACTGGACAGTTGTTTGTGTCCTGATATCAAGAGTTGAACCTTATAACATTATTAGCATTATACAAAGAGGTGATTATTGTCAAGACGTGTCTTAAGAGAACAGTGTGTAACCTGGTCTATTTTTTTCAATCAATGTCTGTGCTTTATTCTGAATTACACATTGGTGTACATTTGATATTTCATGTTGATGTATTGTTTTGTTATTATGATTGGGTATTAATATATTAAGCAAACTGGACTTCCCTTCCAGGTTATGGCAGCTACGATGACTACAATGGTTATAATGAGGGATATGGCTATGGTTCCGATCATGGATATGGAAGAGAGAGGGGTAAGTGTTTCTGTCTTTCAGTTGATGATGCGATGAATGCGGGTTGTTCAAAAACTAATTGGATTATGTATTTTAAAGGAATGTCTGGACAAGGATATGGAAACACCAGTTCTGGCTTCCATAGTACAACAGGCCATTGTGTACACATGAGAGGACTGCCTTTTCGGGCTACAGAAAATGATATCTGTAATGTGAGTATATTTTTAAAAGAAAGTAGGTTCATCCCATTCTTCTTTTACTGGGTACAGTTAAGAAGCTGGCTGGGTGAATGTTTCAAACCAACCAATTAGAGTAGCCAAAGTGGAACCATTTAGGTGGTGGAAGGAAAGCAAATCTTTACTCACAATCAATTGGAGATTCCCTTGTATGAGAATGTTTTGTGTTTTTTTTTCTTTCAGTTTTTCTCACCACTCAACCCAGTCAGAGTGCACATAGAGATTGGATCAGATGGCAGGGTGACTGGGGAGGCCGATGTGGAGTTTGCTACTCATGAAGATGCTGTGGCTGCCATGTCAAAGGACAAAGCGCATATGCGTGAGTTGAAATATCAATGAATCAATTAGGTTTTCTATCTGAATAACGCTGTGCTATCTTAACTGTTGAATTTGTCTCTTTAGAGCATAGGTATGTCGAACTCTTCTTGAATTCCACATCTGGAGGCAGCAGTGGCAGTTATGCAAGCCAAATCGCAGCACTGGGTAAGCCAGCCAGAGAAATGAATTATCACATTTTTTAAGATTTCACATTAAGTTTAAAATGCAAACTTTCAATTTAAGGTGATGCCTATAAGCAACAATTAGTGCATTGATGTCGAATTACAAATGAGACTTATTTTAAAGTATCTTGTTACATGCTAACAATTTCTTAGAATATACCTTATGTGGTTTTGTGCAATTGATCAATGCTTTTTCCAATAAACAATGTAAATGATTTTCACACGGTGGATTGCGATTCTGAAATCGCTATCTTCTGGAATAATAATAATAATCCTTGCATTTGAAATAGCGCCTTATCACAGCTCCTTACTCTAGATGTCTCAAAGTGCTTCACAGAGTATACTGTAAAGTGAGTTGACTATGTTTTGTGGGCGAGAAGTGGAATCTGTTGGGCACCCAAATCCTGGATATTTCATCAGAATTCGTTAGCTGGGTTCTATTTAACCTTGCATTTAATATCCTTGGTAATGTGTATGATTCATATTTTGATGAACAATTTTGTTGAGATTTGAAATGAAATATATTTAGATAAAGTCATTTTAACTGTTGTACTCTAACTTGACATTCCAGGCAGCCAATCAAGTTATGGTAGTCCAAACAGCCAGGCGTTGGGTACTGGATATGGAGCATATGGCAGTCAGGCTAGCCTGAGTGGATACGGTAAGTGCCTTTTTTCAAAAGTTGTGTGTTTGATGAAAACAATGGTTGCCTTTTTTAACCATCTTTTTTTTATTTCAGAAAATTATTTTACCAGCACCCAGGGTGGAATGAATGGCAGCTACTTTGGAAGCGGAAGCCGAGGATCTATGGGGATGAATGGCATGGGTGGGATGTCGAGCATGAGCGGGGCTTGGGGGATGTAAATTTTCACTATCAGACCGATGCAATGACCAGCTTCAAAAAAGTCATTTATGCTTATTAAATGTGAATTTGGCATATGCATTCCTTTCATTATGGTTAGAATTCAGCATAAGGCTTTTCCTGGGTTGGGGGAAGATTCTGGGTGCTGCCAGTTGTTCACATGGTTTTGTTTCAGAGACTTAACGTCTATTGTGTACGATTTTCATACAGTGGTTACTGTACTCTGCATGTCATATCAACCTCATTACACAGGTTCTGTGACCTGCTTCTGCAGGCTTATTGATATAAGTGCATTGTTAAGTACACAAAATGCATTGGTGCCAGAATAGTTAGTAAATTGCATGTTCAGTCGTGCATTTTCTACCTTTGGTCCATGTAACATTTTATGTCCACTTTTGGGGGGAGGGGGAAAGAACCTATTGAGTTCACTTTAATTGGCTTGTGGTGTAGTCTCCTGGTTTATTATATAAAAAAATGTAAAAAAAATTGTGTATTAGTGCATTACATGTGTAACAATTCTCTGAAACTTGAACATGACAAAAAAAATCTATAGACACTGGCATAAAAGTGTAAACAGATCGAACAATTATGTACTTACATTTGTTGCTTAACTTCCTTTTTTTTATATTTGTGTCTTGAGAAAGCAAGCCTGTTTTTTTCTTTTTAGAAAGCCAAAATGAAGAGAAGCATCTGGTGGTGCTTTGTAAGGCAAAGTAGAATTTTAATGTAGTTTTGTTTAGAATTATATTCTAGGGAATGGTCCCATGGTCTCGCTCACCATCTGAGACCTTACAGTACACAAGTCATTTTTGGTCATATTTGTATGGTGCAAAGTGAAAATAAAACTCATTAAAGCTTTGCCATTTTTAATAGTGATGGGGTTGATAGTGTGAATTTGTACTTGTTTGTTTTAGTGAAGTTCAGTACTGTAGCTTAATGTACCACCCTTCAGGTAAATGTTTGACATTAAGATAAACTTGAAGATTATTTTACAGATCAATGTGGTACACTTGGAAGTGTACTTTACATGTTGGTTTGTTCCTTGAGTAGGTCGGGCTGGGTACATGGAATCTATTTGGGGTTAGCTAACGGGGGGGGGGGGGGGGGTTGCTTCCATGACATTCACTTCATCTCTCATATAAAGTACTTGCTGGAGCTCATTTGTACCTGCTTTATTGTACTTATATTACTATCTGGATTATTGTGAATTGGCCACATTGAAATCTGTCTCCTTTGGCAGTTTAGTGTATATGTTAGTAAACTTATAGCTAATCTTGAGTTTCTTCTTAATGTCACAAAATTGCAATATCAGTTCATTGAAGATAAAAAAAATCAAGGTTAAACTGCCCCAAAAAAGGTGTTAATTGTAAAATATGAAAGGTTACACCACTATAACACTGTAGTTACCAAGTCTAAACTCCATTTTGTAACATTGAAATGATTCGGTAGACTCGCTGCTTTATTATTTGGAATAAATGGTTCAGAACTTGTGTCCACTCAACATCCTAAAGACCACAAATGAAAAAGGAGCAGAACTATTACATTTTTGGGGGGTTTTGATGAAATTCGTGCAAACCTTTGGGGTAATGGTTATAAAAATGAGAAGGTTGTATCATAACATTTAAACTCTTTAATGCTGAAAATAGACCATATAAAAATACACCTTTGAAGTAGAATAAATATTTTAGAGCAGTGTGGTCCAACCACCATTTCAACTTCCACACCCCCCTCCTTCCCTCCCTGGTAAACATCCTCCCACCATAGTGGATGTGGCCCACGGGCTGCCAGCTGGCCCATGCTGGATGCAGCTCGCTGACCTCAACTAGAGTATCTGGCCAGCAGCAGCCAAAAGGTTAGACAATAACAACAGAATTCCATCATTTCTGCAGTGCTTTTCGTGTGGGGAGGATGTCCCAAAGTGCTGGAAAATCAATGTTTTGGACCTGAGCAGGGAGTTGGGATCTGAGGGTGGGGAGAAGGAGGGTGACTGATCGCACAGTTGAAGAGGATCTTGAGGCTGGTCTTGAAGGAGGCAGGGGGTGACTGAAGGAAGACACAGTCAAAGAGGAGGGTCTTGGGATGGCTCTTGAAGGAGTCAGGGGAGGGGGCAAGACACCCTTGCAGGTCTTCTGGCTCCCACCCTCTGGAACTCCATCCCAGTTGGACAACAACAAAATTACATTTATATAGCAGGACTGTGGGCTGGAGTTCCAGAGGGTGGGAGCAGAGTGGCTGAAGGCCCACCTACCAATAGTGAGATGGGGTACATGAGGCAAGCTGGAGCCTGCTAAGTGGAGGAAGTGGGCAGGTTGTTTACGACTTAGGAGGTGGCAGAGGTAGGGGGAAACGGCCATGGAGGGCTTTGAAAGTGAGGACCAGGATCTTGAACTGTATCCTCTGATGGGAAGCCAATAGAGTTGGGTGAGGATGAGGTGATTGTGGAGCCTGGTGCAGGAGAGGACGCAGGCAGCAGAGTTTTGGATAATCTGCAACCTATGGAGGGAAAAGTTGGGAAGGCCGACAAGCAAGGAGTTTGTGGAGTTGAGTCGACCTCCTAACCCCCATCCTCCTGGATCTTTCTGCTGTGTTCCAACGCAGTTGACCACGCCATCCTCTTCCACTGCCTCTCCTCATCCTCTTCAACCGCTTCCCTTCACTCATCCTCCACCTCCTCTCCTCCCTTATACACATTAGTGCAATTGCATTCACATGTTAGAGTCCTATTTAACCAACTGCTTCCCATTTCATCTTGGCAAATGATTTCTCCTCTCGCTTCTGCCCGGTCACCTGCAGGGTAGCCCAGTGACCTGCGGGATAGCCCAGTGCTCCATTCTTGGCCTCTTCTTTTCCTTATCTATATGCTCCCTCTGGGCAATGTCATCCACAGAGACAGAGTAAACTTCCACATGTATGTGGATGACACACAAATCTACTTTGCCTCCTCCAGCACCAACTCCAGGTCTACTGATGCTCCATAAGCTTGTCTGGCAGATGTCAGGGCCTGGATGAGTGCAAACTGCCTGCAGCTGAATGTGGACAAGACGGAAGCCATACTCCTTGGCTCCCATCAACGTTTTCACTCCTGCGGATCTGAACTCCTCAACCTCCCTGGGCTCTCCCTCAGATTCACCGAACCAGTGTGCAATCTCGGCATCTGGTTCAACCCCCAGCTGTCCTTCCTTTCCCACATCCAGTCCCTGATCAGGACTACCTTCTTCCATTTCTGCCACATTGCCCACCTCCAACCATATCTTAGCCCAAATGCAGCGTTTGTCACCTCACCTGGATTGCTCAAATGTACTCCTCACCGATCTCCCCAGCTCTACTATTCAAAAGATCCAATTTATTCAGAACTGAGCCACACACATACTTACCCGGACCAAACTCTGTACCCACATCTCACCAGTTCTGGTGCGACTTCAAGATCCTCACACTTGTGTTCAAATCTCTTCACTCTCTGGGACGTCCCTGCCTCTCCAACATCCTCACACCTGAATTCACCATCCAACGCCTCTGCTCAACTGGCATCGGCCTCCTCGTTCCTCACACCCTCCTCCCCACCATCAAAGGTCACGCAGTCAGCCACTATACCCCAATACTCTCCCTCAATCCCTCTGTCTTGCCCCTTATTTCAGCCACCTCCTCCATCCTCCCTCGGCCTCCCCCCCGGCTCCGAGTCAGGCTCCGCCACTGTTAAGCACTCTGAGATACTACTCTGCGATGCTACCCTGTGTGGAAGGTGCTCTAATGGGTGCCAGTTGTTGGATGTTATGAATGCGTCGCGTACGATGGACTCAGTGGCCTGCAGTGTGAGACAGTGGCGGAGCCAAGCAATGTTGCGGAGAAGGGGGAAGGCGGAGCGGGTCTTGGCGCAGATGTGGGGTATGAAGGACAGTTGAGGGTCAAACAGGACACTGAGGTACCGTATTGGCTGTGAGATGGAGCGAGCATCCACGGAATGAGATGCTGTCAGTGCCCGAGGTATAGAGGGCCTTGGTCTTGTTGACAGTCAACTGCAGGAAGTTTGCTCTCATCCAGGACTTGATGTCCGACAGGCAGTCTGAGGACGGCAGTGATCCTGGAATCGAAGGGGAGGCAGAGAGGTAGAGTTTGGTGTCATCCACATACATGTGGAAGTTGACCCTGTGTCTAGGAGAGGCGGTGTAGGATAGAATGGTCGACAGTGTTGAAGGCAGCAGAGCAGTCGAGGACAAGGAGGCAGAGAGAACCCTGGTCGCAGATGATCAGAATATCGTCAGTGACTTTGACCAGGGCTGTTTGTTTGCTGTGGGCAGCATGGAAACCAGGCTGGAGGGGATCGAAGAGGGAATGACAGAAGAGGAAAGAGTGAAGCTGGGATCAACGACTCATTCCAGGGGCTTGGAGAGAAATGGACTATCCTGTTTTAACAACAACTTGCACTTATATAGTGCTCTCCACGCAGGGTAGCGTCTCAGAGCTATTTTTTTTAGAGAATGGAACACTTCCTCAATCCCTGAAAACCTTCCTTTTCGACCGTGCTTATGGTCACTCCCCACCCCCTAACCCTGCCTCAGAGTCAAGCTCCGCCACTATTGAATGCTCTGAGACGGTATATAAGTGCAAATTGTTGTTAAATGACCAATTTAACTTTAGTATTGTCCTGGTCTTTTATCCCACTTATATGCTATATATTGACGAGGTTTCTGGAGTTGGTATGTTTTGTATAATTTTATTTCTAGAAGTGTAAATAAGTTTGCAATACCAGTTTTACATTGTATTAGAAGTAGCAATATAGTTACTATAGTTTTAACCAACAAAGGCACAAATCCAGAAAAATAGCTTTATGAAAGTATCCATGAAACATGGTAAATCTAGACATTTCTTTTAGAACCCTGTCGTACTTGAAAGCATTCACAAATACTGACATGTGATAAGATCGCTTTTTTAAAAAAAGTTGAAGTCTTATAAAATTGAACACACAATCAGACTTGGCACAGACACTTTTTTAAAGGAAAATTGATTATGGAATTTCCATATTAGCAGTATCAGCTGATCCTGGTGTTTGTGTTGATGGCCAGGTGCAACAAGAGTAGTGTATGACCATATACAATATATTACAAATTTCAATATCAAAATTGTTGTTAAATCGCTAGCCCCCACTTTGAACAGAAACACGTTGACTCTTTACTTATTGCAAGCCCTTTCTGTGCAAGGCAATTAAATGGGAACATAAGATGTCAACGTTTAAGCTTTGGAGAGAAAAAAAACAGATTTTGACAGCCTGCATATCTGCTTTACTACTGCAGTCGAGCTAAACTGTCCTTGTAACAATCTCTTCAAGAAGCATTTGAAGAACACCTCTGTAGCAGTAATGTGTGGCATGTATCACACACTCGCACCGGTTTGGGGTAAGAAGGAAGTGCCAGCTCGTTACCAGAGCAGTTGTTGCAGAAGATGTCACCGCAATTTCTACAGTGATGCTTGTTGGGGGAAAGAGGACAAAAAANGGTAATTTTAAAATGTGTACAATGAAAAACCAAAGTTGTCATTTTTGTAATTCAAACATTAGTTGCTTTAGGTGATGTCGCTATTCCTGGTATTTTAAGTTTTTACTTCAGGCAGGACTATCAGCAGCTACCTTCCCCATTGGCCACAAACGATAGACAATCTGGGAAAATTAGTGGTCCCTCGTCTAACCCTTTAAAATCCAGATCAGTCTTCAGAGAACAGAAATGACCATACGTCACTTAGAATGTTAATTATTAATGTATTGCAGGATCTAAACTCAAAAGGATTTTTAGCATCAATGTTTTGTTAAATACCTTCCTTCTAGAGATGGAAAACTCCTTCTCACACTGCTTACAAGTTGTGGCTTCATCATCTTTCAGCCAAGCATTTCCCTGTAAACAAAAAGTTTGACAGCAACAAAATGGTGAACTTATGACTCTTTGGCATTGTGTTATTAACAATTCTTTTTTGAAAATACATATTTATTTATAAATGTAATATTTAGGTACAACAGAAATCCAAAACAAACAACATCCTCTGTTACAATTTTTCCCTTCCTCCCGATACAAAAAAACATTCTGTTGTTTGCTGTACATTCCTTTACTGCGCTACGCGTAGGTTGTGCACGTTTTTTGGAACGCTGACTTTAAAAGAGTCAGGAGTCACCCCTACATACACCACATTCACACATCGATAAGGCGCACTTGCCGCTTTCGGAAGGTGCCCCGATGTGCACTGGATGCGAACATGTTTACCGTCCATACATTTTCGGGATGCTCTTTAGTTACGTCTCGAGCCGCCTTATGCACCCTTACTTTAATTAGCTTTGGGTGCGCTCGTGGGCTACCCGATCGGTGCGGGTTGAGCCGGAGCGGCTGACATTTGGCCTTTGCGGTGGTCGAGCTAAACTTCAGCGTGTCCCTCAGTATATAGTGCCTTATCCTAGCGTGTGCGAGCCTGAGGCAGGCCCTTACCATCCCCTTGTTCTGCCAGAAGAACACCTGGTTTCGGGATTGCGAAAGTGCCTCCTTTACCGAGTTTATAATGCTCCAGGCGCACTCCATGTGGGTTTCGCTGTGAGGGCCCAGGAAGAAGCCGAACAGCACCGAGTGCCATGACAGCGGGTCCCCAGGGACAAACCGCGAGAGAATCCATTCCATCTTTTTCCAAACCGCCTTTGCGAAACAACTCTCCAGGAAGAGGAGGTCCACGATCTCCTGGCCTCTGCAGCTGGCCAGAGGGCAACGTACTAACTGGCCCAGACCTCGACCGTGCATGAAAGCTCTGAGTGGGAGGGAAGGGCCCCTTCTATCGCCAGCCAGGCCATGTCCTGATGGTTGTTGGTCAGGGCTGGTGATGAGGCGTTCTGCCAGACGTAGCTGGCCGTCGCCACAGGGTACCTCCCGATCGGGTCTACTCTCTCCCCCTTTCAAACTGTTTCGATGACCTGTCGCGCGGATCACTCAGTGATTGCGCAGGGGTCTGGGATGGTGTTCTCCAGGAATTTCTCGACATAGGATAGGAGGTTCGGCACGCTCCAACTGTGTGGAATGTTTTGAGGCAGTTCTGCCAGACCCACCCTTCTCAGCACCGGGTACAGGTAGAAATCCAGAACGTAGCAGGATCCGTTGCCGGCGTAGCGGGTCTCCAGGCACAGCCTCAGGCAGCTGCACACAAAGGTGGCCATGAGGATCAGGGCTACGTTAGGGATCCCTTCTACCCCCCACCCCTTCCAGGGTTTTGTACATCACGTGTCTGCGGACACGATCCATCAGCTGCAGTTCGTTTCATTAAGTTCAATTTGATACGATCTGGTTTACTAAGACACAAGTTTGAGTTGGTTCTACCAACACCACCTTTTGTTCATCATTCCGAAACTTTTGTTTATAACTTACAAATTCAAGTCAACATCAGTACCTTCAATACTTTGTTGACCTCTTTAATGTCCTCCATTTTCAATTTTGATCTAGAGAGAAAAAAAGTGTCAACATTCTTAAGATAACAATAATACTTGGATTTGATTTAACACCTTATCATGTCTTTAAGACGTCTCAAGGCGCTTCACAGGATATACTGTAAAGTGAATTGACTGTAAATTTTGCAGGCAAAAGATCCCTCTTCAGCGCCATGTGTAAATGATTTAGATCTAGCAATAAATCAGTTTTCCACAATACAACTGAAAGTAATGTCATTGCTTCTGAAGTATAAATAGTCTATTTAAAAAAAAACTAAGTAATGTAACGGCTTACTGACTAAGATGCAGTCCCATTTCTTGCAGTGCCTGTTCCTGTTCCTCACAGATCTTATGTAGCTGTTTTTTCTCATCCTGCAACTTTTGCATTTCCTGTAAAAGTACAGAGATGGCGTTATAAACGTTAAGTCAAGACCAGTGCTTGTTGTGCCTGTCATATTCCATTTGCATCTTAATTAAATATAACCCGTTTCCAATTTGTCTCATGGTTTGAATTGATTTTTTCTTTTACATGCCAATCTTGTAATAAACTTTGTGTCACATTCACTACCTAAGCTCACAGAGAAAGAATGGCCACTTGGGTGAAGTGTTTGAGATCACCAGGAAAAGTCACTATTCATAATTGTTCTTCGATGGAAGTCAGTGACTTAAAACCCAGTGGTAGTATTAATTGAAGCATGAGGGAGGAGAAAGCAAAATTATTTCAATATAGAGAAAATGCGTTGAGCTGACCACAACAGTAGTAATTGATGCTACATTCAAAGTTAAACTGTCTTCATTGAGCAGCTAAATTGGACCAAACCTCTGCTCAGAGGGTACAGTACAGATTCCTTAATTCTTTGTATTAAGTGACAGGTAGTTCAATTGATGACAGGGTTTTCTAAGTAAATGTTGATGCTCACAATATCTGTAAGACCAAGACTTCGGAAGGAATGGCGAGACCGAAGATCCCCAGGTCCATGGCGCCGACTTTGTTCTAAAAGCCAGAGTTTCCCAGAGAACTGAATCATTTTCAAAAATACAAACTAAAATTAAAAGCATTTACCTTCTCTAACCCTGACATTTGCTGCAGTTGAGCTTTTAACTGAGATGTTGCCTCTCTCTCCTGTTGCAATTGTTGCTGAAGGTTTTGTCTCTGTTCCTTCTCAGCTTTAAGTTCAGAGTCCAATACTGAGCTATAGTTAAAAAAAATAGTTTTACTGTGGATCGCTTTTAAACGTGTACCTCTCCGACAAAACGAAAATTCCCCAATTCCTTGGTGGGCAAATGCAGTGTGTCGAACAACCAGTAATTGTCCTCTACTATTTGGTTGAGATTTAAGAGGATTCTGGTACAACTGCAGATAATACAATTAAAATGCTTTCACAAACACCAAAGTGAGTTCGTTGAGAGTTCAGTTAATAATGTCAGAAGATTCAGAACTATCTACTGCATCACCAATTTGTGAGGCCTTAGTTTACTAAAGATGCCAAATCAAGTGGTATTTTTTTTTTAAAAAGCAGGTTTGCTCTTGAGGACTTGAACAATCCACTTTGCATTAGTATTCCATGATAGAGCTTTTAAGCCCTACTATGAGTTACAAATGCAATGATCACCTCTTTTGTTAGATGGTAGTGTGTTCTGATTTCCTACCGTTGCTTGTCCAGGTCACTGAGCTGTTGCTGTAGGTTCTCAATCTTGCCTGCAAATTCCTGTTTAATCTTCTGAGTTGTCTCTTCTGCTGACTGCCTGGCTGCCTCAGACTGTTGCAGCCTAATATCAAATTAAAAAAAACAATAACACAAGAAGTGTAGAAATAAATCTGGACTCATAAAAACACACAACATAATAATCCTGAAAGAGTTCTGATCCGCTGATAATTCTGACAACTTCCCAATTATTTTCTCCTCCTCTGAAGGTAAGAAAACAACTGTTTTCATTTTGTTACCTAAGTACACCATTACCCACTGGAAATACATGCAATCTGTTCCCAGACTTCCACCAATATATCAGCAAAGATGCACACAAGAGAAATCCACAACAGATCCCTCAATATCCGACTCCCTTTGTCGAGAGGCTAATTACCGTCTTATTACCATTCTCACAGGAACATAACAGAGAGAGTGAGTTATGGAGAATGGAGCGAGACAACTTAATCTTGCCACTCAATATGATAATAGACTAGGAATCTTACAGGAATGATCAGATGGTGCAAGATGTTGGTACAAGATTAGATACTATCATCATTCTCAAACATCGCTTATCTTTCCCATAAGTTAAAAATTGTACACCACCAGAGTTGGGAGGATAAAAGGAATGAGCAGCATAGTAATGTATAATCTCTATGTGGTTCATTTACACACACTGTACCTTTCCTCCATTTGCTTCATGGCAACAATCATCCGATTCATCTTTTCTTCCAGACAGCTTATCATCTCAGTCTTCTGCTGCATTGTCCCATCCGAGTCCTAATCAAACGAAAAAAAATTAAACTCAATACACGAACCGGCAGCGTTAATTCTCCCCTCTCTCCCCAACACTTCACAGAATAAGAAGTTATGCAGTCAAGCTGCATTTCCGGACAACTTACTGCCCTATTCACTTCTATTTTTGCAACACAAAAAAAAGCCCAGACTTTTAAGGAATGATAATAGAAGCTGGTAAGACCAATCTCCTTCAATTTTCTTACATGAGACTTGTGACACATCTGCAGATTTATGGCCTTAACCTCTTCCAACTGTTGTCTGAGAGCCACCAGTGTGTCTTGTTTCTCATGAGTGTCCTTCTCCAAGAGCTTCATGGCTATCTCCATTTCCTGCTTCAAACTCTCTTGCAGTTCCAGCTCCCGCTCCAATTGCTAAGTGGAAAATGTGCACAATTCATCACCATCACATTAACATAAGTAAACGACTTCAAAATTTATATTCTTACACATCCAACAAATAGTTTAGTCGAACTAAAATCAATTTGTCGCCTTCAGAAGTGGTTACAGACGGAAACAACCAGCCAGAAAGTGAAAGACATACAAATCTGTAAAATATATCAGCAGTACGTAATTGATGTCCCTGAATTTTTTTAAAATGCTAGTAAAGTTATTATTCACTTATTTTCTATACGATAAGCGATGAAACTGCATTCCTTTCACAATTTACTAACCCAATCTATTACCAGCGAGGTTCAAAGCCACACGTGCAACTATGCTTACCGTTCGACAATATTTTTCCTCTTTCAATTGTTTCCAAACTTCATTGTACATTTCATCGAGACCCTGACGGGTTTGTCTGTAGGTTTCCAACTCTACCTCTGAATCTTGTCTGCTTACCTGGGAAGGACATTTACCAACAGCAAGTTTTAGCAATGGAGAAAAATAATCCTAACAGCAATTCTACATTTCCGCTAAACTGTTGTATACAGCCATTTACACTCCAGAGATTATGACAATATACATTTTTCACACAGACCCTGTGAGTATAATTTTGCTGTCCTCACCCAACAAAAATTCTCAGGAAGCATTAAAGCTTCAGATTTTAAAACAAATAAACTACCAAAAGTAAATATTTAAGCTTCTGCGTATTCCTACATCTCTCTACAGTGGATTTAGATTTGTGGGAACATGTTTCTGTGTTTCTGAATATTATCGTAATCAACAAACCCATATAATCTGACCTCCACTCGCCGTTCACTCGTTTCAAGGATTGACGAATTTTCCTCTTTTAATCGATTTTGTTCTGCCTGAAGTGAATTGATCCTGTCATTGGCTGCTGCAAGCTGGCAAAAAGTACAGAATTAAATGAATATTGTCAATGGCCAATTTTTGAAAAAAATAATGAACAGAAGGAATATGCCAGGAAAAGACCCCATAATGGTATTATTTTCAACTATTGAACCAAGTTCAATACAGGTTCTTTACAAAGTAAAGTGATTTTAAAAGCAGCACCAACAAATTAGCCTAAAGCTCTTCACAACAGAAACAGGGTTTCCAGCAATAAGTGAGTGTTATTTACCTCTTCCGTTAGTTTTGCATTTGTTTTTTCCAGGCAATCCGTTTTGACCTGAAGATCAGAAACCGTACCACTGTTGAGCAGAAAATCAATGCAAATCAATTAAAAGGTTAATAGACGGACAGGTTACAGAAAGACTGAATCTCCACAATAAGCAAATAGTACGTATGTCATACACCACCAAATAAACCAACGTTACAAGACACTTCAAAAGTTAACACATGCACGTGATCACTGTAAAGAAGGCTAGAGCAAGTCATATCCAGATTTGTGAATCTATACATAAACAGTGTTGTGCAGTGATAGCTGACAGCATTTTGCTTATCTTCACTTGCAGGCTGTACTGTCCTGTTGTATTATTCCTGGGATATGGTCAAAATAAAACCATTATTGATGCTTTACCTCAAATGTCTGTTGAGTTCTTCTACGTAGTGTTTCTGGTCTAGAACTTTTGTAATTTCTGCATCTCTGGAGGTGGAAGAAATACAAGTTAATGATATGACATTTTACAAAAGTCACTTTAGTTTTTAAAATATATGAAGCTTCTCGATGTAAACATGCCCTTTTTAAAAAAACTTTAGTATTTGAACTTTGATTAATTGGAACAAATTCCTTTTAATGATGGGTGGCACACAAAAGCTTGAGGTGAATGTCATCCCAATTTTTCCATTTGGCAAGTGTTATAATTCTATTATTTTGCACACAAAATACAGTCAATCCACTTTACAGTATATTCTGTGAAGCGCTTTGAGACATCTAGAAGACATGATAAGGCCCTATATCAACTGCAAGGATTATTATCATATTCTGTGAAGCGCTTTGAGATTTCTCAACAACATGATAAGGTACTCTATCAAATTTAAAGATTAGTATTATTTAGATACTGTGTAAATTGACAAGAGGGGAAAAAACTCATGACAAAAATCCTGAAAAGGCTCACCCTCTGTATTTGGAGGACTGGTTGTGCAGTGGGTGAGCATATTTCCCTCATTAAACCTAGTTAAACCAATGGGACAAAATTGGGACCTCTTTTTGTTGACTGTAAGGTCTTATCGTGAAATAAATAAGGCTTTCACCATTGGATCGATTTGGTTAAAACACACAAGAATAAAAATAGACTTCATAAAATCTTACAAACAAGTGGACTTGACTATACTCACTGTTTGCTGTTCAGACTGCACTGATCTCCATCCTTTAAGTACAATGAGAAGTCGATCACACCAACCTGCGAAGATGGGAATCAAAATAGAATAGTTTACTAGCTCACAAAAATGTCAGCAATGATAATCAGAGCAGCAGCTTCATAAATTTGTAAGTTACACGTTGGTACTGGCGTCCTGTAGTGTATTGGTTACAGCACTCACCTCGCAAGCGAGATGACCAGGATTTGATTGATTCCCGGGCAGTGTAAAACTTTAAGATTCTAATAATTTGGTCAATCAATCCACAACTGTTTGTGGGACACTGCTGTGTGCAATTGGCTGCCGCGTTTCGCCCGCAAAATATACAATCAATTCACTTTACAGTATATTCTTTGACACTTTGAGATATCTCAAAGATGTGATAAAGTGCTATAGCAAATGTAAGAATTATTACAATTATTAATAATAATGATACATCTGTTGATGCACATGTTTAAAAAAATGCAGCTCGTAACCCATTGTTTCAAAGGAACACAGAATACAAATACCAGGACGTTTCTACATCGACAATGTCTCTTTAAAACGTGAACGGACTGGATCACGACAAAGCAATTATTACCTGAGAATCTAAATCTTCTCCTTTTAAACACAGGTTGGCATCGATAACTGTGAGCCCCACCAGGAGACCCACAAGAACTGCTCCCTCGTCATGAAGCATCAATGCATTTGATTCATAGAATTCACTGTGTTACAGAAAACACAATTGTCACCACAGGTAACGGGTCAAATTCTGACTTCAACAACCTCTCGGGGGACTTGGCCAGAGTGGCCTTTATGTAAGGGTGGCCTCTGAGTAAGGGTGAGTTGGTGTGTCCAGTGGTCTGTCCTGGCTGGTTATTAACATGGGGTGGTGGCTGGTTTGTACTTAGCAAAACTAACCTAAATGGTTAGGTTTTACTAACAATGGGACACCTGAGGCTATGCCCTCAGCAACTACACCCCCAAACTCTGAAACTCTCTCCCTCTCTCTTCCCACATAAAAATCTTTGTCATCTTTCCCTCTCCCCCCGCGGACTCAGAGTCCAATTCTGTCTTTTGTGAAGCGCTCTGAGATATTATCCTCTGTGAAGAACTTTATATAAATGCTGGTTGATCTACATAAATGACCCGGACTTGGATATAGGGAGTACAATTTCTAAGTTTGCAGATGATACTAAGCTAAGAAAAGTAGTAAACTGAGGAGAGGAGGATAGCAGCAGACTGCAAATGGATATAGACAGACTGGTAAAATGGGCAGACACGGGGCAGATGAAGTTTATTGTGGAGAAATGCGAAATGATGCATTTTGGGAGGAAGAATTAGCAGAGGCAATATAAGCTGATGGTACAATCTTAAAGGGGGTGAAGGAACAGAGAGACCTGGGGGTTCATATGAGTAAATCTTTGAAGGTGGCAGGACAGGTAGATAAAGCTGTTAAAAAAAAAGGACACTAGGCTTTATAAATAGGGGCATAGAATACAGAAGTTAAGAAGTTATGATGATCCTTTATAAAACACTGGTTAAGCCTCAGCTACAGACTGTGTTCAGGTCTGGCCACCACACTTTAGGAAGGATGTCAAGGCATTGGAGAGGGTGCAAAGGAGATTTACTGGGATGGTACCAGGAATGAGGGACTTCAGTTATCAGGAGAGGCTGGAGAAGCTCGGGTTATTCTCCTTGGAGCAAAGAAAGCAAAGAGGAGACTTAATAGAAGTTTTCAAAATTATGAGAGGATTCGATACAGTTAACAAGGAAAAACTATTTCCACTGGTGTGTGGGTTGGTAACCCAAGGACACCGATTTAAAATAGTTGTTAAAAGAAACAGAGGGAAGGTGAAGAGAATTTTTTTCACACAGCGAGTTGTTTGGATCTGGAATGCATTGCCTGAAAGGCTGGTGGAAGCCGATTCGATAACAACTTTTAAGAGAGAAGTAGATCATTATTTGGTATGAGGACAAGTTTGCAGGGCTATGGGGAGAGAGGGATTAACTTGGATAGCTCTTTTCAAAGAGCCGGCACAGACATGATGGGCCGAATGGCCTCCTTCTGTGCTGTAAAATTCTATGTTTCGAACTTGTAAAGCAGAGTTCCAATAACAACAGGCCATTAGGTTTTGCTATTACGGTATGTAATGAATAACCAACAACTCTTATTTGCAAGGTTTGTTTCACCAACAAATAAAACATTTGGAATTCATTCTACAATTGCAAACTTAACAAAGATATAATTTACATACACAAAGATTATAAAAACACATCAACACCTCAACACGTCCTTTCGATCAATCAATGCCTTCAAGTAATCCGCCATTTTCTTTTGCATCAAAGCAAGATGAAGCCAGGCTCTCCCTCTTCCCACTGGGGTTCTGAAGAGGAAACGTAATTTAGTTTGATGTGCAAACAAGGTACAGTATTATATAAAATATATTTACATAAGATAGAGACGAGGGCATCAAAAAGACAATTGAGGAGGAACTTCTTCCCGCGTGTGAGATTGTGGAACTCACTGCCCAAAGTGATGGTTGAATCAAATTGTATGATGAAAACAAATTATAATTGTTGTTATCCTATCTTGAGCAATGAGTTCATCAATCTCACTAATGCATTTAAGAAGAAGCTAGACTTCTACATGAAGGAGTAAGTGGACATTCATGTGGAGTGCAAACACCAGCACGGACTGATTGGACCAAATGGCCTGTTTCGACGCTGTACGTTCTTTGTAAATCTTTGCAAACTCACTTAAGTCCTGGCAGATCTCGAACACTCGTGGCGATTTCAGCAGCTTCGGGACAGAATTTCTCCACAAGTTCCAGAGGCCCCCAGAACGACTTGCCGGGTCCGAGAAAAGTCTTCTTCGCTGCAAGGAATTAAAAGGGAAGTTGAGGTTTCGTTTCATCAGCGGTTCTGGTTGCGCCTGACTGCAGCGGATAAAACATACAGAAACAGACCAGCAAGACTGCACCTTTCAAGCCATGTTTGAGACTCTGTTCCATGACCACAAAGAACTGCTGGAGGGGAGGGTGGTCGGTGTCCATGGTTCTCCCCAGGGTCAATGCAGACTGGATGAGCACTTTGATGCTCAGCTTCATCATGTTCATCAGGTTGATTCGCTCGTTCATCACCTGCTCATTGGCGTCTAATGAAAACATTTTTTTTTAAAATAGGTGAAAATTTAACATTTGGGCCCATTAGAAATTACAGAATAATACTTACACCCTCCCCTCCGGGAACAGAGTAATGCTTGGGGTGGGGGGGCTGCCTCTCTCCCCCCCACTCCCCACCTCTCTCGCTCCCCTCCCTCTCCCCTCCCCTCTCCCCTTCCCCCTCTCTCTCTCCCCTTCTCCCCCTCTCTCTCTCTCCCCCCTTCTCCCCCTCTCTCTCTCCCCCCTCTCTCTCTCTCCCCCTTCTCCCCCTCTCTCTCTCTCCCCCCTTCTCCCCCTCTCTCTCTCCCCCCTCTCTCTCTCTCCCCCTTCTCCCCCCTCTCTCTCTCTCCCCCCTTCTCCCCCCTCTCTCTCCCCCCCTCTCTCTCTCTCCCCCCTTCTCCCCTCTCTCTCCCCTCCCCCCCCTCTCCCCTCTCTCTCCCCCTCTCTCCCCCCCCCCTCTCCCCCCTCCCCTCCCCCGGGGCCGCTGTACTGTGAGCCGTGGCTCCGGGGCCCTCGCACTGAACCTGTGTTGTTGGCGCTGTTGTTGTTGCTGCTGTCGCTGTCGCTGCTCCTGGCGGCCCCCCCGGTGGGGCCGGGCCTGGGGCCCAGACCGCCCCCCATGGCCGTGGCCGTGGTAGTTGGCGGAGAGCGTCTGCGAGGCCTTCCTGGCGAGAGAGAGGATGGGCGCCGACCAGGCGGCGTCTCCCCGCTCGGCCATCTTCAGCCTCGCGCGGCGCGGGCAGCGCAGGGCGCGGGGCCGAGCCCAGAGACGCCGATCAGCCGCTGCCCCGCCCCCTTTTGACACTCGGTCGCCAAACGCCTGGAGCCGCCGTGTGCGGCGGTGGCCACCGGGGGGCGCGCGCGCTCACACCCACACACACACACACACACACACACAGCGCCTCCTCGGGGCCGAACCCCAATCACTGTAACACAACACCAACACCAACACAAACAACGGGTTTGCGTTGATATGTAGCGCCGTTCACGTCAGAAGGGGTTATCGTTCCCCGCGTTGTGACTGTAGTGCGCGACTGCCTCGAGCGGTGGATGGTGAACTGTCCAACGGTTCCGAGTTTACTATAATAATAATAATAATAAGAAGAATCCTTGTATTTGATGGAGCGCCAAACACTGGACCAGACTCCCCGGGGAGACACAGACACTGGACCACACTCCCCGGGGAGACACAGACACTGGACCAGACTCCCCGGGGAGACACACACACTGTGGACCAGACTCCCCGGGGAGACACAGACACTGGACCAGACTCCCCGGGGAGACACAGACACTGGACCAGACTCCCCGGGGAGACACACACACTGTGGACCAGACTCCCCGGGGAGACACAGACACTGGACCAGACTCCCCGGGGAGACACAGACACTGTGGACCAGACTCCCCGGGGAGACACAGTCACTGTGGACCAGACTCCCCGGGGAGACACAGACACTGTGGACCAGACTCCCCGGGGAGACACAGACACTGTGGACCAGACTCCCCGGGGAGACACAACCACACTGTGGACCAGACTCCCCGGGGAGACACACACACTGTGGACCAGGAGACACACACACTGTGGACCACACTCCCCGGGGAGACACAGACACTGGACCACACTCCCCGGGGAGACACACACACTGTGGACCAGACTCCCCGGGGAGACACACACACTGTGGACCAGACTCCCCGGGGAGACACAGACACTGTGGACCAGACTCCCCGGGGAGACACAGACACTGTGGACCAGACTCCCCGGGGAGACACAGACACTGTGGACCAGACTCCCCGGGGAGACACAGACACTGTGGACCAGACTCCCCGGGGAGACACAGACACTGTGGACCAGACTCCCCGGGGAGACACAGACACTGTGGACCAGACTCCCCGGGGAGACACAGACACTGTGGACCAGACTCCCCGGGGAGACACAGACACTGTGGACCAGGCTCCCCGGGGAGACACAGACACTGTGGACCAGACTCCCCGGGGAGACACAGACACTGTGGACCAGACTCCCCGGGGAGACACAGACACTGTGGACCAGACTCCCCGGGGAGACACAGACACTGTGGACCAGACTCCCCGGGGAGACACAGACACTGTGGACCAGACTCCCCGGGGAGACACACACACTGTGGACCAGACTCCCCGGGGAGACACACACACTGTGGACCAGACTCCCCGGGGAGACACACACACTGTGGACCAGGCTCCCCGGGGAGACACACACACTGTGGACCAGACTCCCCGGGGAGACACAGACACTGTGGACCAGGCTCCCCGGGGAGACACAGACACTGTGGACCAGGCTCCCCGGGGAGACACAGACACTGTGGACCAGGCTCCCCGGGGAGACACACACACTGTGGACCAGGCTCCCCGGGGAGACACAGACACTGTGGACCAGGCTCCCCGGGGAGACGGTTGAAGCAGGAAGCGTTGATTCTTTCAAACACAGATGAGATAGTTTTCTTTCAGGAAATAACATTGTGGGATTTAGTACACAGGGAGTTCGGGACTGGTGCGCGCGAGCACCGGGGAGGTGGAAGGTGAACGGGTTGGACCTTCGTCGTTTTTCATCTTAGCATTTCTTATGTTTCTTATTATTGCAACATGCGATAGATGGATCCTGGTCTTTTTTTCATCCCGGAATTCCTATGTTCCTATGTACACTGAAAACAGACCTTCTTGTCAACCTGCAAGTAAACTCCCAAGGATCGGGTAAACAGGGGATACACTTTACACTCCTTTCCAAAGGAAATTTCCATCCATTTGACACCCAGCTAACAGAAAAAAACGAGTTTGCCTCCGAACGCGCAGCACAAACACAGCAGAATGTGACGAGTGGCGTTTCTGATTGAACGTAAGGTATTTCAGACTATATGCACTGCCCCAGTCTTATTTTAAGAAAACAACGGAGACCCTAAACATTAAACATTCAGAGGCAGCAAAATGTTTGCGACAGGAAGCCAGCAGGGGTCAGTGGCTGATCAGAAAATTGTATAAAGAGCATACTGTAAATTAAAACATGTTTTGAAACCAAGGGAATTTTATCTGGAGATTCTGGGTTTGTGTCTAACTGATAGGTTTCGTGGGAAGTTTTTCAAAATCAAACACTATTTATACATTCATCTTTTTGTTTGGTTCTTCATATTTGGTGTTTTGCAGTTTATTTTATCAATTTCCCAGCCTTTTTTTTTTGCAAATTGTTCTCCAGGGGGTCAGGAATTTTCCATGTATTTTAGCAAACACATTGCATGCCAAAACAGCCAGGCTCTCCAAGTATTTATATATAGCTGATTTCAGGGCTCTTTCTTTTCAATATTTTTCAAGACGATCTCAGAGTTCTTAAAGCTTGCCTTGATCAGGATTTTTAATTATTATTTTAAAATCTTCCAGGGTTTCTTTTGAAATGGATCCAAAGCTATTTTTTTCAGGTTGATCAGCGAATAATTAAGGAGGGGGAAAATAATCTTTAAAATGACCTGACGTTTAAACTACACCTGCCTTTCGACAACAAACAACAATACATTGAGAGAGAGGGAGAAAGTGAGAGAGAAAGAATTTGAGAGGTGAGAGAGAGATAAAAATAGACGTCTATGCAACAAGTACATATATTAAATGCAAGGATTATTATTATTTTCAAACAACTTTGTCGGAAGCAAAAAAAAACTTCAAGATTGAGTTAAAATGCTATTATTGATCAGCCTCCATCCGTTGTAAGGAAGGTCATGTTTGTACTTTGTACTGAAATCTCAGTGACCAGGCAATGACATGCTTGAGACATTGGTCCATGAGAGGGAGACACTTACACATGACTCAAGTTGATCAGAACGGATCCAAAGTCATATAATAATAATATAATAATAATCCTTGCATTTGATATAGTGCTTTTCATGTCGTTGAGACGTCTCAAAATGTTTCACAGAATATACTGTAAAGTGAATTGACTGTATATTTGTGGGCGAAACCGGTCAAACCGGCCAAAACGTTCAACATCAAATGAATTGCAAACTGGTGGGATTTTCATCCTCATTTTTCTTTCATTTGTTGCAAACAAAAATGGGAAGAACTTCAGATAATCACAATGGGAAACTCCATAAGCTGACTGAAAATGCAAACTTGCCCCCCTTTCCTTTTCTCATTGCACTTGCACATCTGGAGAATGAAAGTAACCACGTGTAGAATGATATAACAATATCATTATTATAATGATATAAAATATGAATATTATAATCTGTTTATTTGGTATAGACCCTTATCACGTTATTGAGACGTCTCAAAGCACTTCACAGAATACATTGTAAAGTAAATTGACTGTATTTTGTGGACGAATAAATCAATAATATGCACAACCCAATTCAACTATTCGATTAAGTGAGTTTATGCCATAAAAAGCAGGAAAGTGGAGCAACATTCAATCATTAGTTATTCTGATCTCAGCAGGGGCAATGTTAATAGAGTTACAATTAATAATAATAATAATCTTTGCACTTGATATAGCAACTTATCACATTTTAGAGACGTCTCAAAGGCCTTCATAGGATATACTGTAAAGTGGAGAGACTGTATTTTGTGGGCAAACGTTTTGTGCTACTGTCCAGTGGAAATGTGGGTATACACACTGGACTACTTTGCCCATTGTCCGGGCAATGAAGTCCTCAGTCACCATCAGTCATACTACTCCAAAGTCATAAGGAGATCAGCATTCATATGATCTTCTCCGAACTTGTGTCTGGCTGCATTGCTAAAGTTGAACTGATGGTCCTTAAAGGGTACATATCGCAGCTGCCTTCCATTAATAGGAATCCTTCCAAATGCCAAGGTTTTTTTGTCTTGAAGTCAGAATGAAAATGAACTTCAACCACACTGAGACAAACACTTTGGAATGAGAGACAGGTTTGGAACTTAAATCCATCGCTTTTATTTCATGGGAATCAACGACCGTCTGAGATATCAGACTTGCTTTTAACTATTTGCTTTTCAAACTCAGGAAACTTAATTGGTCTCTTATTAAACCCTAAAGTTTGAAACTTCAAAACCTTAAACGTGTAGTTTCATTCCCTTCGCTAGAACATGTTTTTGCTGGAATCGGATCAAAATCTCCCTCCACACCGTGATAAAATTGGCCAGTCATTTCCTGTTTGTTTGTGAGATGTAGCTACATGCAAATTGGCTGCCACATCTGCCTACAAAATAGTCACTACACTTGATAGTAAAATCCTGTGATGAGCTTTGAAACGTTTTGACGACATGATAAGGCACTGTATCAAATTCAAGGATTATTCTGAATGATAATAATAAGTGTCTGTTAAGCATTATATTTGTAATGGATAATGCCACTAAAATAAATCAATAATATAATAATAATAATAATAATCCTTGCATTTGATATAGCGCTTTTCACATCTTCTAGACGTCCCAAAGCGCTTCACAGAATATACTGTAAAGTGAATTGACTGTATATTTGTGGGCGAACGCGGCAGCCAATCGCGCACAGCAATGTCCCACAAACAGTCGTAGATTGAAAATGACCAATTTATTTTTGTTTTGGAGGGATTATTATTAGGCTCTGTGTGGAGTAAGGAAACTTGCCCAAGGTTTCGCCCTCTGCCTGGAATTGAACTCGGGTCTCTCACTTGCAAAGCGAGTGCTCTAACCACTGAGCTACAGGACTCCAATATCAGTGAGATTGACATGATAAAAAAATGTGAATTCAAACTCATCACAGGATTTTACTATCAAGTGTAGTGACTATTTTGTAGGCAGATGTGGCAGCCAATTTCATTTTTTTAATATTAATTTTAGCCTAGCTACCAAAATTTAATAATAATAACCCTTGCATTTGATTTAGCGCCTTATCACATCGTTGAGACATCTTAACTTGCTTCACAGAATATATTGTAAAGTGAATTAACCGTATATTTTGTAGGCCAAATGAGTTGCTTTGCTGACAGTCATTCAGATTAGGTAGTCAACACAAATTCCAATTGTATTAATTTTAGGAGGGAGCAGTCTGTATCCGTTACTGAAAGTATTTCATGTGATGGACATTACTAATGTCTTGCTCATACATTTTTTGCCCAAACTATAATTATGGCAGTAACTGCTGAAATACTCCAAACTTCAGAATATTCGTGTGCGTTTCGCTGCATGAAAGCAGGCCAGACATCAAATCATTTTAGTTACACAATCTAATCCTTTTTAAGTTCAATGGTACAATTTTAAAAAAATGTACTCAAACCACGACTGTTTGTTGGACACTGCTGTGTGTAATTGGCTGCTGTGTTTCATCCACAAAAAAAATGTACAGTCAATTCACTTTACAGTATATTCTGTGAAGCGCTTTGATGCGTCTCGAAAATGTGATAAGGTACTACATAAAATGCAAGGATTGTTATTATATTAAAAACTTTAAAATGCCTGTTTGAGTTTCACCACATGGCAGTAGGCCAGGAATATACCAAATTGATTCAAATGCAGTGTGAACACAAACTAATCCTGTTTTGTTTGTTCAAATGTAGACAAAGTGCAACAAATGTTCACTTCACCGATAACTTTACCCACTGAGTGGAACTTGAGCCACAAGAGAACAGGGTCCCTGGTTCAATCCCGGGTCAGAGTTAGCTGATCTCAGCCAGGATATTGGCTGATGTCTATCATAGCCCATCCTTCGGGCCAGAGAGAAAGAAAGATCAACTTGGGTTCCCGCTCCTAACTGCTAATCAGTCACCCTTACTGTAAGCGGGTGCAAATAGAATGAGCATAATAATCATTCCATTCCACCCACAAAATATACAGTCAATTCATTTTACAGTATATTCTGTGAAGCACTTTGAAACGTCTCATCAAAGTGATAAAGCGCTTTATTGAATGCAAGTATCATTATTATTTGTTATTACTCCTCAGGTCAAATTGCTGACTGACACTTACTTACTGTTAATGCTCACAGATGAATAATTGCTATTTGGGTGAGGTTCTGAAAGATTACTCAGTGTCCCTCCAACCATAAGATCACAAGAGGTTGAGATGAAGTGGCCATTTGATCTCATCCTTACAGAACCTCCACCCTTGTGTCCTCCCATCACAGCTGCTTCTTAAATGGGTCCTAGGGTTCAACACCCTTCCTTACTAACCGCATTGTAATTCATTTAGCAAGAAGACAATGGCTTTTGAAGAGCAGGGAAATTAATGAGAGTGAATTGGCAATGACAAATTTGGTGCAATACTTCCTCAATCCACGACTGCCTGAGGGACACTGCTGTGTGCAATTGGCTGCCGCGTTTCGCCCACAAAATACACAGTCAATATATTCTGTGAAACGCTTTGAGACACCTCAATAACGTGATAAGGCACGATATCGAATGCAAGGATTATTATTATTATTGTGGAGTTCTGTAGCGTAGTGGTGAGAGCACTCGCCTCACAAGCGAGAGGACCCGGGTACGATCCCCGGGCGGGGAGAAACCTCAGGCAAGTTTCCTTAGTCCACATGTCTCTGTTTACTTAGCAGTAAGTAGGAACCCGGTCGCTTGTTGATTGGCGAATCACTTTCCGGAGGTAATAATCCCTTCAAAAAAAAATTATAATTTGGTCACTTCAATCCACGACTGTTTGTGGGAGACTGCCGTGTTTTGCCCGCAAAATATACAGTCAATGCAGTAGGTTCTGCGAAGCGCTTTGACACGTCTCGAAGACGTGATAAGGCGCTATATCAGATGCGAAGATTATTATTGTATTTGTTGGGAAAAATTTGTTGGGGGAGTTTGGGGGATTCTGACACAGAGGGATAAATCAAAGGAGGAGCATGTTCAACACGTCACCAGTTATTCTTCTGCCTGTATATATATCCAGGGGACGCTGATGCGTTTATTCTTAACTTGCAGTGGAGGCTGGAGCTGTGATAGGAATAGCAGCTGAAGGCATTTAACAAGACTTTGCAACAGCCCACGTTAAAGCACCATTGCCAGACCTGTGCTGCCACTGAGACAGTCAGTCAGACAGACAGACAGTCAGACAGAGAGAGACTTACATACACACACACAGAGAGACGTAGAGAGAGACAACTTTAAGGATATCTCTGGATTGGGATCAAAGTCAATGCACCTCGATCTGGGACAAGAAGAAGAAGAAGAACAGCACAGACAGACACACAGTGAAAAGGAAATAAACCCAACACTTTTGCATCGTTTCTAAAGCGACTCAGACATCAGCAGAAAGAGATGAGGATTGGAATATTGGCGACGTTCTTTGTGTTAGTCACAGGTGAGCTGACAGGTGGGTGTGAGATACAGACACCCACACACACACACACACACAGACAGACACACACACACACAGACAGACACACACAGACAGACACCCACACACACAGACAGACACCCACACACACAGACAGACACACACACACACACACACACACAGACAGACACACAGACAGACAGACACACACACAGACAGACACACACACACACAGACAGACAGACAGACAGACACACAGACAGACAGACACACAGACAGACAGACAGACACCCACACACACACACACACACACAGACAGACACAGACAGACACCCACACAGACAGACACCCACACACACACAGACAGACACCCACACAGACAGCCAAACAGACACACACAGACAGACTCCCACCCAGACAGACAGACACCCCCCCCCCCCCCCCCACACACACACACAGACACACACATACAAAAAAAAACACACACAAAAGTTGCCCCATACTTTTTAGAAAGTTAAGTTAAAAATAAGTTTTGTTGCTTAACTTGGTGAGGGAAGGGGGGAGGGAGAGGAATGTGGTGTTAGTTTGTTGAATTGTTTAGAGCTGTTCATTGCTCTTTTCCAACCCTCTCCCCTTACAAGAAGTCAAGTTTGCTTTTTGTTCATCACTTTTGAGAACTTTTTGAGAGTTTGTTCCCGACGTGAAAAGCTCTATACAAATGTAAGTTGTTGTTGTTGTGCCTGCAGATCAGGTCCCTATTTTTGCCCCTTGTTGCAGTGTCAGTTTGCCAAGTTGTTTAGATCTGTTTGTTGTGTTCTCTCTCTGCAGATAGCTTTCCTGGGGTAATAATCCTTTTTCTTTTAAAAAAAAGATAATTAATGAGAATCATTTGGTTACTCAATCCTTAACTGTTTGTGGGACATTGCTGTACACAATCGGCTGCCGTGTTTCATCCACAAAATACATAGACACTCCACTTTAGCGTATATTTCGCAAACAAAATATACAGTCAGTTCACTTTACAAGATATTCTGTGAAGCGTTTTCAGACATCTCGAAGGCGTGATGAGGCGTTATATCAAATACAAGGATTATTATTATTCTAAAAAGTCTTTACCACGCAGTTAAGTGCGCGTCTGTTAATAACTGAGAACTTTTCGAGAATGTGTACTAGATCTGTGTGGATGACTGATCAATCTCTATTCTTGCCCCTTGTTTGTACTGCAGTGAGTTTGAGCAACGCCAGAGCGGCTGCTATTGAGGGGCTGGAGAGAGGGGCGAGCCGGGGAGGCATGAGACAAGAGGAGAGACATCATATAGAGAACCTGAACGGGATTTTTGGCAGAGAAACAACGGTGAAGTCCACTGCACACCGCACCACTGAGCTGCCTCAAATACCACAAGGTAAGATAAGTCCTGGAGACTTTGCTGATTCTGAGAAAGAGGGTGTGGAGGGTTGAGAGAAGGACAGAGAGATAATTCTACATTTCTTCTCCTCTGTTACTAGTTTTGAGCAGCTATTTCGCCCACAAAATACACAGCAAATCCACTTTACAATATATTCTGTGAGGTGCTTTAAGACGTCTCAATGACATGATAAGGCGCTATATCAAATGCAAGGATTATTATTATTTACCTTTTTACTGAGGAGAGGACTATAAATTGGGAGCCTAACTCTATTAGCAGATTGCTTTCCACGGGTAATAATCCCTCCCAAATAGAAATAATAAAAAAATTGGTTACTCAATCCACAACTGTTTGTGGGACACTGCTGTGTATTCAATTGGCTCCCACGTTTTGCCTAAGAAATGCACAGTCAATCCATTTTACAGTATATTCTGTGAGACATATCTATGACGCGATAAGGCGCTATAACCAAATCCAAGGATTAGTATTAAATAAATTTAGATCTTTAACGTGTTGGTGGGAACTTTTAAACTGTTAATTTCAATAGATTTTGTTGAATTGTTTTCACTTTGTTTTAGTTAAATGTTGTAGACGTTTTTGTTTTGCGATTAATTTATGTTTTTTATTAAAATAACAGTTGCCTTTTACAAATCCGGCGACAACTCGACCGTGGTTGAGGAGAGAAGGAGCAAAGGCAGACGTGAGAGAAAGAAAGGCAATGGGAAACGCAAAAGGAACCCATGCAAAAGGAAATTCAAGGATTTCTGCATCCACGGGGAATGCCAGTATTTAAGACACATCAAAAAAGTTTCATGCACGTAAGTTGCGACTTTTTGGGGGCAGAGTTTTTAAGTGAAGCGCTCCAGAATTTTAAGGGTTGTGTTAATATGTTGTCAATACTCAGGTGCTGTTTCAGGGCTGAATGCAGAAGATGTGTTTTGGATTTGTTTTATTTCCTTCGTTGGGAATCTGTTCAATTCCCCCCCATCCCCCAGATAAAGGCCAGAAATTTAGCCCAGCTCCCCAAGGTGTGTGTGTCATCAAGTCCATTGTCAAATAGACAGGACCGTCTCTGGATGACCTAGGTACAGATTGACATGTTAAGGCTGAGGCACTACGTCAAATGCAAGGATTGTGGTTGTTATTAATTCATCTTAGCCAAAAGCTGGGCGATAGCAATCAGTAGAACTACCTGCCTCTACACATGTTGAGACAAGGTAAGTTTCACGTCACAGCTGTTATTTTGGCTGTCTTCTTGTTTGAAGCAGGAAATGCAAGTGATCTTAAACAACTTAGCTACTCAGAGAGCTACCATTGTGTCAGTAAAAAAAAATCCCTCAGATCCATTTCTTTGAGTATTTAAGGCAAAGCAAAAGGGTTGCAAGAACCTTGACCCATTGGCAAAATGACAGGGATCCTTTTGTGTCCCTTGTGATGCACCCATCAAATCGTTCTCGGTTTAAATCTGTTGAATAGGAACAAGTATGACCTGAATTCTGCAAAGCAAGTTCCTGCTCCAATAGAGACTTATTTTGCATTAATAGTGAGAGCGTAATGAAATTCCACTCAGAGAATTCACACAAATTAGCCTTTAAAAGCAAATAAATGTGTTTGGATCACTGGTGCATCCCAGTTGAAGTCTCTGATCATAAAGTTTTCATCTGTGTGACAAAAGTATTGGTTTGTTTAGGCCTAATATCGCATTGTGTAAAACGCTATATAACCTTGACTTTTGCTCTGCCAATATCAAGCGCTCTGGGATGCTACCCTGCATGAGGTGCGCTATATAAACACAAGTTGTTGTTGCAAATCACTTTGGCTTGTGAGTGTTACACCATCCGCATTGTATGTAGCTATTCAGCCACAGTAAGCTTATGTGCACTGATAAATGCCTGTAGACACTTTTTAAACATGAAACGACTTTAGTTCCTAGCTTTCTCACCACATCAGTGCAGCCAGAATCAAAGAAATCATGTGCCAATGTTACATACCATAACAGATGAACTGTACTTTTTTTATATAGAAAGACTACGCTATCCATTGCATGGCAGTTCATAAGTTTGTGACCAACTCCTTGCGTATAACCAATCCCCCTCTCGTTTACCAACAGGTGTTCTTCAGGATATGAAGGAGAAAGGTGTAGCACCTTCATTCTAGCTGTGGAACATCCCAAAGATCCCAGTGACAATATGACCACGTTGGCAGTTGTGGCTGTAGTCCTCTCCTCTCTCAGTCTCGCTGTGATCCTGCTTCTGTTTGCCTTCAGGTGAGTTCCTCCCAATAGTGGTGTTGGCTTTTGTGCAAATGTTGAGGCTGTAAAACGATTATTTGGAATATAAGCCACAGATAATTTCTTGGGTGGTTGGAGTAAGGGAGTGCCAACTCAATTAAAACTGTGGCATTTTCTGTCCAGAGTACAAGTGGGTAGCGAGGCTATGTATTCTTTGGTGAGAGTTGATACGGTGAGGCAATGTAACGTGGCAGTGTTATTGGTCTGGCTGACCCATCACTGAAAAACATTTAGAAATTGCCTTGAGGGAGTGATTTAAATTGCAATAACATAATAATAATATAATAATAATAATCGGCCTTGCATTAGATACAGCTCCTTATCACGGTATTGAAATGAAATGTTGAAATAACACTTACTGTAAAGTGTAGGGACTGCGTATTTGTAGGTGAACGCAACAAACAGTCATGAAATTAATGACCAATTTTAATTGGAAGATTGTTGGCCAGGACACCAGAAAAAAGAAATTCCTTCTCTTTTCAAATCATGTCACAGATTTTTTTAAGATCCACATGGACATGAGGCTTTGATTTAACATCTCATCTGAATGACTGCACTTCTAACAATCCAGCATCCCCCCAGGGCTGCATTGGAGTGTCAGCTTAGATTGTGTCATGAGACTTGAACACACAATCTTTTGACTCTGAAGTGAGAGTCAGCCAATTCGAGCCAGGTTGGCATGTGTAGCCATGATGTCTTTACCCGCTCGACCATCAAAGTTCAATTTTTGGTCGACAAGACTTGATTTTAAAAGTCTCCTACCACATTGGAAGGGTTAAAAGAGAAAAAGGATGTGTTAGGAATAAAACGTATCACTTTTTCAAAAAAATATGCCTTTTTAATTTCAGTCACTGTTATCGATCATAAATATTTGCAATTTTCCTCTCTCTCTTGTCAGATATCACAGGCGGGTTGCCAGTTACGATGTAAAAACTGAAGAAAAGGCCAAACTTGAAAATGGGAACGGGCTCTAATTTTTCAAGTGAAATGGTAAGATGTTACTGCTTAACTCTGAAACTTCGATCACAATAAGAAAATCTATTCAAAAGGAATTACGCGCCATGGGTTCTGTCAGGCTTAGCATTTTGGAATATACAGTCAATTCACTTTACGGTATATTCTGTGAAGCGATTTGAGATGTTTAAATGACGTGATAAGGTGCTTTATTATTAATTTTAAAAAAAGACACTCTATAGGGAATCCTGTTAAGTGCTTTGAGACATCCTCCTGAAGTGAACGGCGCTGTTTCAAATGCAGGGATTTTTATTAATCACCCCATGGATTGGATGCTCAATGTGCAGTCCTCCATTCAGTGAGCGCCTGATCAAACTCTGGCTCGCAAAGAGACAGGGATATTAAAGCTATTTAATACTAGACACCTGCTCCTTTCACATCTCTGAGCAACATAGAACAGCTTCAATAGAGACCAGCGAACACACTGCCTTCTTCTGTGTCTCTTCAGTGCAGAGACGGGAAGAAAATAATTTGCAAGCGACACTCATCTTAAAAAATGGTTTTGGAAATAAAACTGTATTACTGTCCTGTGCGCATATCACATTGATGCACAGTTTTGTAAAAGTTTTAAATTGTGTTGAACCCCTCCCTGGCCCCAGCATGATTCATAATTCTCACTCTGTGTTCTGTTTGATTGCAGGTGCAAAACAGCCATCTACCTCATTGATGGGAGAAAATCAGATAAAGAAAAAGAGGCAGAAAAAAAAATCAAGTTATTTAAATGTTAAATGACAACAACAACTAATTACATTTGCACAGCGCCTTTCACATCAGGAGGACATCCCATGGCGCTGGACAGTCAAGGATTTGCACCCAAGCTGGGGTTTGGGATCAGGAGGGGTGGAGGGCAGGGAGGTTGGTGGTAGGAGGGTGACTGAAAGCACGGTTGAAGAAGAAGATGGGCCTGGGAAGGGACGAGGTGGAGGGACTGTGGGATGGAGTTCCAAAGGGTGGAGGCAGAAATACTGAAGACCCGACCGCTGATGGTGAAGTGGGTAGGGTGGGGGACGTAGAGCAGGCCAGAGTCCGCTGAGCGGAGGAAGCTGAAATGAACTGCATCTATTGGGTGCGTATCCATTTCCCAGTAATTGGGGGATATTGTACACAAAGCCAATTTCTGGATTTCTCTGTGTTATGTTGTTACTATTTATCAAACGAAACAACTTATTTATATACTGTATCTCAAATTGTCAATATATATTTATTTTAGTATAATTTTATATTTTTTAACTTATTGTAGAATATTTGTAGTTTGTTATTTAAACGCATGCAATGTCTGCTGCCGTCTGTTAAAGTAAAGATAATATAAGTTCTGTTGTCGAAATATTTATTTCTCAAAGCTTGGATACCACAAGCGGTGAGTAAATGAAGTTTTCATTGCGCTGTCATACATTTGTACTGTACATAAAGTGTTGGTGTAAAATAAATTTATAATAATTTGATATAGCGCCTTATCACATCATAGAGAAGTTTCAGAGCGTTTCACAGAATATATTGTCAAGTGAATTGACTGTATAATTTTTTGGGGGTAAAACGGGCACCAGTTGCGCACAGCAGTGTCCACAAACAGTCGTGGATTGAGTGACCAAATTATTATTTTTTGAGGGATTATTACCCCCGGAAAGCGATCCCCTCCAGTCGACTAACACCAGGTTCCTATTTACTACTTGGTAAATAGAAGCGTGTGGAATAACAAAACTTTCCTATTGTTTTGCCCCGCCCGGGAATCGAACCTGGGAATCGAACCCGGGTCCTCTCGCTTACGAGGCGAGCGCATCAATTACTATGCTGTAGGACTCCAACATATGCCTCTTTTTGTATGTACCTGACTTTGTGCTGGATCCTTTTGTTAATAACAATTTAAGGAATCAATGACCAAGCAGGCAAATACAGTTTGGAGACAATAATAATCCTTGCATTTGATATAGCGCCTTATCATGTCGTTGAGACATCTCAAAGCGCTTCACAGAATTTCCTGTAAAGTGAATTGACTGTATTTTGACTGCGGTAGACTGTGTATTCAAGTGGAATTAGATTAATTATGTTTATATTAACTAATACACTGGTTTATATTATTTTACTATAACCTTGCGTTGTTTAAAATTGGATAAAGTATTTAAAATGATGTACATATAACTTTTGTATTGGCTTTTTTCAATAAAATATTAATTTTATTAGTGTAACACTGCATAATTACACATTAAGTGAAAGCGGGTAAAGCTTCCTTTGGCCCCAGACTCATTGGCTAGATAACAACAAATTACATTTGTATAGCGCCTTTCATGTTGGGAGTACTCCCCAAGGCGTTGGACAGTATTATTAGTAATAATAATAATTGTCGCATTTGATATTGTGCCTCAAAGCACTTTATATATTGTAAAGTAATAATAATCAATGACCAAGGATGTTATCTATCAAAAATAGAAAATTCTAATAATGATCCTTACATTTTCACATAACGTCTTTCATGTCAGATGGACGTCTCAAAGCGCTTCATAGGATTTACTGTAAAGTGTAGTGCCTGCATGTTTGGTGGGCACACAGCAACATCCTACAAATAGTCATGAAGTGAACAATCAATATTAATGAGCCACACATTACCTGGAAGTTCCCATGTTTGATCTCTGCTCTGTGCTGAGCTAATCTTAACTGGGATAGCAATGAGGTATTGGCAACCTTCTGCACGGAAGAAAATACCAGCCAAAGTTTCCACTTGTGACTGCTATTCCGTGATTCCTGTCTGAGTAGCACATTGTGTGTGTCTGGCTTTTGGGTGAGGTCTTTTGCAATGGCCACTTGGTTGAATTGTCTGCCAACATTTATTGCCTGGGGCCCCATAAGTTATTTGATAAGGTGCCTCTGTCTGTCCAGCGCCTTGGGACATCCTCCAGACGTGAAAGGCGCCATTCAAATATGTTGTTGTGTTGTTGTTGTGCCAATGAGCTTGGTGGTACTATACAATTCCAATAAAAGTTGCATTAATCGCACGTTTCACATCAGGAGGACTTTTACACTCGTGGCTGGACACCCAAGCTGGGTGGGGGCAGAGATGACTAAAAACACTGTAAAGGCTCACCCACCGATGGTGGCGGTGGGCGGTGGAGGGAGTGTTGTACTGTATTTAGTAATCATCAAAATTAGAAAAGAAAGAAGCATAGAGCTTACCTCAGCAGTTCCAGAACTCTTTTTTATCAAACATATACCCAAAAAATCCTCACTGCTCTCTTCAGCTTTATCCTTCATCCTGTTCCAATTAATTGATGACCTTAAAGACCGTAATATAGAAGTTTCTTGTTGTAATTAACCTTTATTGTTGGTTGAAACTGAAAAACCTTGATAACAATTTCATAATCCTTACATTTAATATAGCACCTTATGACGCTGAAACTTTTCAAAGTGTTTCGTAGGCAAATGCTCAAGTCTATTCGTAAGCAAACACAGCAGCCAATTTGCGCACAGCAAGGGCCGCAAACAGCCAAGGTGCGAATGACTAATTTATCTGGAGGATTGTTGTTGGACAGGACACTGAAACTCTTTTCTCTTTTTGAACTAATGTCACAGGATCTTTATCATCCACCTGAATAGGCATACAGGACCTGGGTTTAACTCCTCATTCATTCAAGCGCTCTGGGACACTGCCCTGCGTGAGGGGCGCTATATAAATGCATGTTGTTGTTGAGTGCTCCCCAGTAATGAACTGGAGAGTCAGCCTAGACTGGACACCTGTTGTAGAGGTTGAACCCACGCCGAAGAAGCATTTGTTGGTTTCCAGCGGTTTGTCATAAGACAAAAAAAAACAGGAATGCTGTATTTTTTGCATTTCATATTTCTGAACTGTTTTGCTCTCTCTGACACCAGGGAACCAACCGCCTGTGAAAGTTCCAAGATTTCTGTTTTTATTTGATAATATACTAATGCTTGCGTTTGATATTATCGCTTTATCACGTCGAGACGTCTCAAAGCGCTTCACAGGATCTACAGTAGATGTAAACTCGAGCGATTAGTGGTTTAGGTTTGAAAAGGAACTGGAACCTGATTGAATTTGTACAGCGCCTTTCAACAACAACAACAACAACAAGATTCCATTTATAAAGCGCCTTTCACGTCAGGAGGACGTCCCAAGGCGCTGCACAGTTGGGTCATGACCCGAGCAAGGGGGAAATGGTCAGGGTGAGGGGAGGGAAGGGAGGGAGCGAGGAGGGGGGAAATGGTCAGGGTGAGGGGAGGGAAGGGAGGGAGCGAGAGGGGGAAGAGAGTCGAGAGGGGAGCTGAAGGCTCGGTCAAAGAGAAAGGTTTTGAGACCGGCCTTGAAGGAGGAAAGGGAGGAAGCGGCGAAGGCACTGGGGGATGGAGTTCCAGAGCCTGGGGGCTGAGAGGCTGAAGGCCCGACCACCGATGGTAGGGCGGTTGGGGCGGGGGACGTGGAGCAGACCGGAGCCGGAGGAACGGAGGGTACGGGCAGGTAGGTAGGGGGATAGTAGGTTGGAGAGGTAGGAGGGAGCAAGGCCGTGAATGGCCTTGTAGGTGAGGATGAGGATCTTGAAATCAATCCTCTGGGGGATGGGGAGCCAGTGGAGGCGAGCGAGGGTGGGAGTGATGTGGTCCCGAAGCCTGGTGCGGGACAGTACACGAGCTGCAGAGTTCTGAATGACCTGCAGCTTGTGGAGGGAGGTGGCGGGAAGGCCGGCGAGGAGAGAGTTCCCATAGTCCAGCCTTGAGGTGACAAAGGCGTGAACCAGGGTTTCAGCAGCGTGAGGGGTGAGGTAGTGCCGTAGTCTGGCGATGTTCCGGAGGTGATGGAAGGCGGTGCCAGTTGTGGTGCGGATGTGAGGGAGAAAGGACAGCTCAGGGTCGAACAAAACGCCGAGGTTCCTGACTGGCTTTGAGAGGTGGAGAGTGCAGCCTTGGATGCTGATGGTGTCAGCGCCTGAGGTGCGGAGGCGCTGACGTGAGCCAATCAGGAGGGCCTCGGTTTTTCGCACGTTGAGCTGAAGAAAGTTGTCTCTCGTCCAGGACTCGATGTCGGACAGGCAGCTGTCAGGACATCGGTGGTCGTGGAGTTGAGAGTAGAGGAGGAAAGGTAGAGTTGGGTGTCATCCGCATACATGTGGAAGTTAACTCCATGTCTGCGGATGATGTCACCAAGGGGGAGCATATAGAGGGTGAAGAGGAGGGGACCGAGGACAGAGCCCTGAGGGACACCACATGAGACAGTACGGGGGGTGGAGGAGAAGCCATTCGTCGAGACAAAGTGAAGACGGTGAGAAAGGTACGACCTAAACCATTCAAGGACAGTGCCTTGAAGGTTGAGGTGGGAGGACAAGCGGTGGAGTAGGATAGCGTGGTCGACCGTATCGAATGCTGCCGATAGGTCGAGGAGGACGAGGAGACAGAGGGAGCCCTGGTCACAGATGGTCAGGATATCATTGGTGACCTTGACCAGGGCAGTTTCTGTGCTATGGGCAGCACGGAAACCTGACTGAAGGGGTTCGAAAAGAGAATGGGTGGAAAGGAAAGAGCGCAGTTGGGAGGCGACAACTCTTTCCAAGACCTTGGAGAGAAAGGGGAGGTTGGAGATGGGCCGGTAGCTTGATAGCTGCGACGCATCAAGGGAGGGTTTTTTCAGGGTGGGCGTGATGATGGCAGTTTTTAAGGGAATGGGGACAGAGCCAGAGGAGAGGGACAGGTTGATGATGTCAGTGATATGTGGGGCAAGAAAGTGGAGCTGGGAGATAAGGAGTGGAGTGGGGATGGGGTCAAGGGAGCAGGTGGTTGGTTTTAGGGATAGGATGAGTTCAGTGACAGAGGGTGGGGAAACGGGTACGAAGGTGTGTAGGGGAGGATGGGTAGGAGTCGGAGTGTGGGAGTGAGGGGGTGGGGGGTTGGTGGAAGTTGGAGGGGAAGTGACCGCGGAGCGGATTCCCTTGATCTTGGATTCAAGGAAATCCAGCATCTCCTCGCAGTGAAGGTTGGAGGAGATGACCTGCGCGGGGTGGCGGGGGGGACGGAGGAGTCGGGTTGTGGTGGAAAACAGTAGCCTGGGGTTGTTCTTCGCCTCCAGGATTATCCTGGAGTAGAAGGACGACTTGGCCGAGGCTAGAGTGGAGCGGTAAATTTTGAGGAGGTCCAGCCAGATTTGTCGGTGGACCGTTAGGCCAGATTTGACACAGGTGCGTTCAGCAGCCCGCACCTGGCTTTTCAGTGAGCGGAGGTGGGTGGTGTACCAGGGGGAGGAGCGGGAGTAGGAGACAGTGCGGGAAGTGATGGGGGCAAGAGTATCGAGTGTGGAGGAGAGGGTATTGTGGAGGAGGGAGAGAGGAGAAGAGGGGTCGGTGAGGGTTGAAGGCCAGAGGGAGAGGAGTTCAGAGGACTCCAAGGCATCGGTTAGGGATTGTGGGGGTAACTTCTTCCAAGGGCGGTAGAAGATGGTGGTGGGTCTGGTGGAGGTGGGGAGGGGGGTGGAGGTGGTGAAGGAGATGAAGTAGTGGTCAGAGATGGCCTTGTCGGTAATAGTGACATCCGAGACACTGAGGCCCCGGGTGATCACCAAATCGAGTGGGTGGCCGTGACTGTGAGTGGGGGAGTTTATGTGTAAGGAGAGGTTGAGTGAGGAGAGCAGGGAAGAGAAGTCTGTGGAGATGGAGCAGGAGGGGGTGAAGTGTAGGTTAAAGTCGCCCAGGATGATGAGGCGATCAGAGCAGAGGCAAAGAGATGTGAGGAGTGTTGAAATGTCAGAGATGAAGGTGGGAGAGGTTTTAGGGGGCCGGTAGAGGAGGAGGATTTTAAGGGAGAGGAATGAGGGGTGGGAGAGGGTGAGGTGCTCAAAGGAGGGGAAAGAGCCAGTGGAGTAGGGGATAGGGCAAGTGGTGTCCTTGAGATAAGGGCAACACCACCGCCACGGCGGTTGGGGCGGGGGATGTGGTGGGAGGTGTAGCCGGGTGGCGTGGCCTCCGTGAGGGGGAAGGTGTCGCCTGGGGTGAGCCAGGTTTCTGTTAAGGCCATGATATCAACGTTCTCATCAAGGATGAGATCGTTGATGACCAGGGCCTTGTTGCAGAGGGAGCGGACATTTTGCAGTCCGATGTGGAGGGAGCGGTTGACAGAAGGGTGTGTGGGAGGGGAGGGGGTCCAGGTTGTGAGGCAGGGGTGGGGGGAATGGGGATGAGGGAGGAGAGGTTGACTCCCCGGGTCTGTGTCCGGGGTGGGTGGCGAGTGTGGTGGGGAATGGGGCAGTCGGTGTGGCTGCTGCTGGACAGCCAACGCCGAGTGCCGCGGTGAGCCCGGCGGAGGATTCCCACTCTGGAGCAGAGGGAGGTTGTGGGCGGGAGGGAGGGGGTGAGGGGGCTCGGGTCAAAGCGGCAGCCATAGTGCGCACGCGGGGACCGGGAGCGAGCGGTCAGGTGGATGGCAACAGGACCATAGTGGGCTGTGAGCCCTGGGGGGGGGGGGGCGCAGAGTTTTTTTTTTTGCGCGCGCGAACGCACCTGAAAACTAATCTATGACGTCAGCAGTTCCCCCGCTCCGCCCCCACACCTCCCAACCCCCCCCCCCCCCCCCCCCCGGGGCTGAACTCGCTCCGGCGTCGAGTTTAAGTACCTGGGTCAGTAGGCCCAGGTCCTCCCCGCGCTGTCCTGCCGCCGCTCCCCGACTTTCACGTACAAATGCAACAACAACAAGAAGATTCCATTTATTGAGCGCCTTTCACGTCGGGAGGACGTCCCAAGGCGCTGTACAGTTGGGTCAGGACCCGAGCAGTGGGGGGAAATGGTCAGGGTGAGGGGAGGGAAGGGAGGGAGCGAGGAGGGGGAAGAGTCGAGAGTGGAGCTGAAGGCACCGTCAAAGAGAAAGTGTGTTCTGTGAAGCGCTTTGGGACGTCCTTCCGACGTGAAAAGCGCTATATCAAATGCAAGGATTATTATTATTATTATTATAAAGGTTTTGAGACCGGCCTTGAAGGAGGAAAGGGAGGAAGCGAAGGCGAAGGCACTGGGGATGGAGTTCCAGAGCCTCGGGGCTGAAGGTCCGGCCACCGATGGTAGGGCGGTTGGGGCGGGGGATGTGGAGCAGACCGGGGCCGGAGGAACGGAGGGTACGGGCAGGTAAGTAGGGGGATAGTAGGTTGGAGAGGTAGGAGGGAGCAAGGCCGTGAATGGCCTTGTAGGTGAGGATGAGGATCTTGAATTGGATCCTCTGGGGGATGGGGAGCCAGTGGAGGCGAGCGAGGGCGAGGGCGAGGGCGAGGGTGAGGGCGAGGGTGAGGGCGAGGGCGAGGGCGAGGGTGAGGGCGAGGGTGAGGGTGAGGGCGAGGGTGAGGGCGAGGGTGAGGGCGAGGGCGAGGGCGAGGGTGAGGGTGAGGGCGAGGGTGAGGGTGAGGGCGAGGGTGAGGGTGAGGGTGAGGGCGAGGGCGAGGGTGAGGGTGAGGGCGAGGGCGAGGGTGAGGGTGAGGGTGAGGGCGAGGGTGAGGGTGAGGGCGAGGGCGAGGGCGAGGGTGAGGGTGAGGGTGAGGGCGAGGGCGAGGGTGAGGGTGAGGGTGAGGGTGATGTGGGCGCGAGCTCTGGTGCGGGACAGTAGACGAGAGATCTGCAGAGATCTGAATGACCTTCTGAATGCAGTTCCGACTGTTGCTGTGTTTTGTTGTTTAAGCGGTTTTATATGTATCTTTACATCTTACGGGAAGAAGACACTTTATACTTTCGAAGAAAACGTTTGATTCGTTTGATTTTGTCTCTGTGTGTGTGTGTGTGTTTTGGGGATAGAGCAGAAGTGAGCAGTGAGGCCCAGAGAGAGAGAGAGCAGAGCTGCGGTGGGGGGACAGACTGCGCATGCTCACACCGCACAAAACAACATGGCGGCCCCCGTGGACCTGGAGCTGAAGAAGGTACCGACTCGGTTTGTGGCGTCGCCGCCGCCGTCGCCGCCGTTTTCCCCGCCCGCCCCCGGGGGCCATCTCCCCCCGCGTCACCACCGGGGGGGGTCGCTCAGTCTGACCCCCGGCGGCGGCGGCGGCGGTGGCGGTGGTGGGGGGGAAGCGCGTCTCTCGCGGCGTTTGCCTCCGGGGGGAGAGGCCGCGGCGGCGCCTCGAGCTCTCCTCAGAGGGGGGTTTCCGTGGGCGACTTCCAGGGCCTCTCCCCCCTCCGTCTCTCTGTCTCTCTCCCCCTCCCCCAGTATGTGGAGGCGGGGGGTTGCGGTTCGTGGCGGCCTCCAAAGTGACGCGCCTGGCAACGGAGTGTCAGAGTGGGGTCGGCCTCAGGCTGTCTGTCTGTCTGTCTGTCAGGGCGGAGGGGGGTCCTGGGCTAAAAGAAGTAGTAGGTACTGACTGGATACCCCCAAGTGTGTAGGTGGGGGTAGAACAGGATAACTGGAGAATAATCATAATAATCCTTGCATTTGATACAGCTCCTGATCACGTCTTTGAGACATCTCAAATCGCTTCAGGGAATATACCGTCAAGTGAATCGACTATGTTTTGTGGGCAAAATCCCAGCCAAATCCCCGCCAAGTCCTAACAAGCCCAGGACAACCCAATAAACCTGATACTCCATCGCCAGACACGTCCAGTTAGGGAGAGAGTGTGTGCTCAGTTACCCCCACCCTCTGGAACTCAATCCCATATTCCCTTGGCCTTGCTTGCTCCTTTGCCTCCTTCAAGGCACACTCAGGCCAATCTCCTATCTATCCTCCACCCTCCCTGGTCCCAACCCCCCTCTCGCTGACTGTTCAGTGCCTTGGGACGTCCTCCCCCCGACGTAAAAGGCGCTTTACAAATGTAATTTTGTATTGTTACCAGGCTAGTAGTGTTTTCCCCTTTATTGGGTGGTTATATGTGTATGTGTTTGTGTATATGTGTGGAGGGGGTAGGTGGGGGGGGGGTGATTCTGCTGCAGCACAGGTGCAAACGAACTGCATTACGTCGTTCAAATTGATGTTTCTTTATGCTGAGCTCAGCAGTTGATGAAGATGCAGCATCACTTGTGGATTTACTGTATTTCGTGGGTGAAACGCGGCAGCCAAGTGCGCACAGCAGTGTCCCATAAACAGTCGTGGATTGAATGACCAAATTTTTTTTTAAGGATTATTATCCCCGGAAAGGAGATCCGCCAATTGACTAACAACCGGGTTCCTACTTACTGCTAGGTAAACAGAGGCGTGTGGAGTAAGGAAACTTGCCTAACAATTTGCCCTGTTGTGAATCGAACCCAGGTCTCGCTTACAAGGCGAGTGCTCTAACCACTGAGCTACAGGACTCCACAAGTTATATGACTGTAGCAAATTATATCACACTGGTGGCATGCAACAAATCTGTTATGAGATGCAGTTGAATATAATGAGCAATATATCATGACAACATGGATATCACTGTTGCATTAATTGTGTTGTAATTGTTGGTGGCTTTGTCAAATTGTCGTATTTGTTAAAGCAAATCATGTCTAACAAACCTGATAAGAGTTTTTTGATGAAATAACAAAGAGGGTGGATAAAGGTAGTGCAGTTGATGTAGTTTATATGGATTTCCAAAAGGCGTTTGATAAAGTGACATATAAGAGACTTGTAAGCAAAATAGAAGTCCACAATATTAAAGGGATAGTGGCAGCATGGATACAGAACCGGCTTGGAGACAGAAAGCGGAGAGTAGAGATGAATGGTTGTTTTTCTGACTAGAGGGAAGTGTGCAGTGATGTCCTCCAGGGATCAGTATTGAGACCACTGCTGTTTTTGACATAAACCTCTCCCTGTCCTCTGGTACTGTTCCCACACCATTAAAAAACACCGTTATCACTGCTATCCTTAAAAAAAACATCCCTGGACCCTTCTCTACTCCCAAAATGCCCCCCATCTCCAACCTCCCTTTCCTCTCCCAAGGTCCTGGAAAGAGTTATTGCTTCTCAGCTTCGCTCCTTCCTCTCCCGCCCTCCCTTCTCGAACCCCTCCAATCGGGTTTCCATGCCGCCCACAGCACTGAAACATCCCTGGTCAAAGTAACAAGTGACATTCTGTCCATGTGCAACCAGGGCTCCATCTGCCTCCTCATCCTCGACCTCTCTGCTGCTTTCAACACTGTCGCTCTATCCTCATCCACTTCCTATCCTCTCACCTCAACCTTCACGGCTCTATCCTTGACTGGTTCAGATTGTACCTCTCACACAGCCTCCACTTCATCTCCACAAACGGCTTCTCCTCTAGCCACCGCACCATTCCTCAGGGTTCTGTCCTTGGTCCCCTCCTCTTCAATATCTATATGCTCCCTCTTGGTGACATCATCCACAGACATGGGGTCAACTTCCACAAGTATGCGGATGACACCCAACTCTACCTCTGAACCTCCACCCTTGACTACAAGACCACTGCTGTCCTGACAGAATGTCTGTCAGACATCAAGTCCTGGCGCTGACAGCATCACCATCCATGGTTGCACACTCCACCTTGCTAAGCCAGTCTTTGAACTTTGGGGTCTTGTTTGACCCTCGACTATCCTTTCTACCCCACATCTGGCCATGACCCGCTCTGCCTTCCCCCACCTCCGCAACAATGTTCGGCTCCACTACTGTCTCACATCGCAGGCCACCAAAACCTTCATCCATGCTTTCATTACATCGAGGCTTGACTAATCAAACTCATTGCTTGTCGGCCTCTCCAACTCCTCCCTCCATAGGCTGCAGATCATCCAGAACTCTTCAGCCCGTGTCCTCGCCTGCACTAGGCTCTGCGACCCTATCACCCTTATCCTTGCCCAACTCCACTGGCTTCCCATCACACAGAGGATACAGTTCAAGATCTTGGTCCTCATCTTCAAAGCCCTCCTGTGCTTTCGATCTTCCTGCTTCTCCCCTGCCATCCACCCTCCCCGACCCTGACCCCCAGCTTGGGTCCGTAACTCTGTGTCCAGCGCCTTGGGACATCTTCCGGATGTGAAAGGAGCTTTACAAATGTAATTTCTTTTTGTTGTTGATCTATATAAAGGACCTGGACTTGGGTACAGGGAGAACAATTTCCAAGTTTGCAGATGATACTAAGCTAGGAAAAGTAGTAAACAGTGAGAAGAGGAGGATAGCAGCAGACTGCAAATAGACATAGACAGACTGGTAAAATGGGCAGACACATGGCAGATGAAGTTTAGTGTGGAGAAATGCGAAATGATGCATTTTAGGAGGAAGAATGAGGAGAGGCAATATAAGCTGATGGTACAATCTTAAGGGGGGCGAAGGAACAAAGAGACCTGGGGGTTCATATAAGTAAATCTTTGAAGGTGGCAGGAGAGGTAGATAAAGCTGTTTTTTTAAAAAAAAGCATACGGGATACTTGGCTTTATCAATAGGGGCATAGAATACAAAAGTTATGATGAATCTTTATAAAACATTGTTAGGCCTCAGCTAGAGTACTGTGTTCAGTATTCGATAGGGTGAACAAGGAGAAACTATTTCCACTGGCGGGTGAGTGGGTCAGTAACCTGAGGACACTGATTTAAAATTTAAAAGAAACAGAAAGGAGATGAGGAGAATTTTTTTTACACAGCGAGTTGTTTGGATTTGGAATGCATTGCCTGAAAGGGAGGTGGAAACTGATTAGATAACAGCTTCTAAGAGAGAAGTAGATAATTATTTGGGGAGGACAAGTTTGCAGGGCTATGGGGAGAGCTCGGTGGAGTGGGATTGAATTGGACAGATGCGATGGGCCGAATGGCCTCCTTCTGTGCTGTATAATTCTATGATTCTATGATTTGATATAGCGCCTCATCACATCGTTGAGGTGTCGCAAAGCGTTTCACAGAATATACTGTAAAATGAATTCACAGTATTTTGTGGGCGAAACTGGAAAGTAAATGCCCTCTCTTAGCTTAACCAGCTTCAAAAAAGTTCTGCTTCATTCATTCAGCAACTTTTTGAACCTAAACAATGGATTACGACAACTGCAACAACAAATTACATTTGTGTAGCACCTTTTACATCAGGAGGATGTCCCAAGGCGTTAGACAATCAGGGATTTTGACCCGAGCAGGGGGTTGGGATCAGTAGGGGAGGAGGGAAGGGAGGATAGGGTTAGGAAGGTGGTCAAAGGTATTATTGAAGAGGAGGGTCTTGAGATGTGCCTTGAAGGAGGCAAGGGAGTAAGGCAAAGGTACTGTGGGATGCAGTTCCACAGGGTGGAGGCAGAAAGACTGAAGGCCTGACCACCAATGGTGGGGTAGGCCGTACGGGGGATGTGCAGGCTGGAGCCTGCTGAGTGGAGGGAATGGACAAGTTGATATGGTATTATTACATCTCAGAACATGAATGGGAATGCTTGCCGAATTCAGGTGTCCTTTGTGATCACGTACCTTAGCATTTAAAGAAAGATTTTCTTGGGGGGAGTGGGGGAAATTTAAAGGTGCATTTAATTTGTGCAAAGGAACTTAATTAATGCAGAGATCCCAGTTTTGTTTCAGTGTCACAAAAAGGGCCAGTTTTCCCTTCACTCTGATCTTGGAATGACTTTAATTCAGTCTGTAATGGCTTTTGTCAAAGAACATTGAGCTAATCTTTTCGTTGGTGTTCAGGAGAAAAAAACAAAGTTGTGTGTATATGGGGCCCTCCAGTGAGTGCACTAGCATTCGTTAGTGGTGTAGGAGTAGTGTTGGGACGAAGAATCCATTGATAAACTTCCACTTGAAGGCTGGTGAGTTTTGTTGAACCGATCCGTGGTTTTACCTTCCCCTGTGAGGTATAAATACATCTCCTTGTACTTAAAATAACTTGTGTTGATTTGTAGGGGTTTGTGGAATGCTTGACCCTAGACATCCTGTGCATCTTCAAAGAATCTGCCCATCAAAGAGAGGATCTCTTACGGGTTTCTTTGGAAACCAACAGACGAGAATAGCACTACATGATATTTAGAGAAGGGTAATAAAGTTGTTATAGCTGGCCTCAAATGTATTTGGTTGTGTGTACTTTCACCCACACAATATACAGTCGATTCATTTTACAGTATATTCTGTGAACGCTCTGAGCCATCTCAACGATGTGATAAGGTGCTATATCAAATACAAGGAATATTATTATTTATTATTATTACTTTCTTCAGGCTTTTGCTGAGTTGCAGGCCAAAGTGATCGACACCCAACAGAAGGCAAAGCTTGCAGACTTGCAAATCGAACAGCTAAATCGAACCAAGAAACATGCTTATCTGACTGACGGGGAGATATCCACAATGCCAGAAGATGCTCGCATGTTTGAAGGCGTGGGTCGAATGTAAGTAAAAGGCTCATCAAATTGTGAGCACAAATGGTTTCTAAATGTACCAAAGGGTGCAACACCATTTACTGAAGAGAAATTTTCCAACTTGTGCATTTGTAATTAACATTAGGAAACATTAGCACCTTCTATCTCCTCTTTTCACACTCCCTGCATCTTTCCCCGTGTTATTTAGGGGTTTCTATGCTTTACACTATTTTGTGACCCAAGCAGATAGGCATGTGACCTCCCAGAGCCCTTGCTGATGCTGGGGGAGGAGAAATAGCAGCTCAGGTCTTTAGTTTTCTTCCCTTCCTCTATGTGGAGAAAGACTCAGTCTTGGCTGCCACTGTTCGTCATTGTGGGTGAAGATTAGGATCTCCTTTCATTGTTCTTTGTAATAGTTTTTTGGAGCACAGCACAGGGTCTTCACAGAACACCAGTTCTCTGTGTTTTCTTGCCGTGAATGTCACATTGAAATCGTTGGATCGGTTTGTAATTTGGAACAAGGTTTTTTTTAAAAAGAAAAGCTTGGCATTTACAGTGCTTGGTTTCATAGCTAAGCAACGCAGTTGACATCAGAACTTGCAAAAGGGCAGCTCCTTGGATGCTTTGCAACAGAAACCACTGTGAAAGAGCAAACTACAAACTGTGGAGTAAAGTGAGGTGTGAAGAATTTCAAACTTGACATAAATAAAGAATCCACTGTAATAAGGGTCCGGCGCTGTTTCAGGCCAGATATTTGTACTTCAGTTTAAGTCTCTTTTTACATGGTTTTGCAGAATTTGCAACAGTCATAACAACAACTTGCACTTATGTACCACCCTCTATGCAGGCTAGCTTTTCAGGGCTCAACAGTGGTGGAGCCTGACTCTGAGCCTGGGGGGTGGGTGGGGGGGAGGAGATTGTAGGCACGGTCAAAAAGGACGGTTTTCAGGCGGGGCTTGAAAAAGGGGAGAGAGGGGCCAAGGCAGAGTGATTGAGAGAGAGTGTTTCAGAGTTGCGGGGAGTAGTGGCTGAATGTGTGGCCTCTAATGGTGGAATGGAGGGTGCGAGGAACAAGCAGGAGGCTGATGCCAGTTGAGCGGAGGCGCCGGTTGGTAGATTAGGTAGTGAGGAGGTCGGAGAGGTTTGCAGTTATAATACTTTGCAGTTTTGAAGCTTAATTTAAAATTGCTTTGATGCCCACATGTTTGGCTTAAAGCTTTGTTACCAGCGCCAGTCCTCGTAAATCCCAGTCTGAATGTGCTTTTGCACTCCGATTCTCTCTCTAACTCTGGCTCAAATACAGAAGATATGCCTAAACTTCGTAAAGTCAAAATGAGTTTGACATTGGTAATAATTTGCTAAATTAATGTGGCACTGATTTGTTGCTGCCATGGCCTTAAATTGGTTACAGAGAAGTTATTGTAGAATTTTAACAGGTTGCAGCCTGTTCTTGGTTTTCTCTTGCAGAGCTATATCTAGAGTTAAAAAAACAGAAATTTGTTCATTTTATACAGATTGTTTAACTCAAACAACCTGATTCCCTGGCTTGGCCTTTTCTTGTTAAAAACATTTCCAACTCACACACTGAAATAGAAACAACCATAGAATGCAGTCGGTATTGTTGCTTTAATTATAAATGTCAGACTTCAATGAGGCAGTAACTCAGAACTACCAAATAAATACTTAAAGTTGTTTGAAATAGAAGTAACTTAAAAAAAAGGCTCTTGCTCTCCTCACTTTGTCAACATTTTAACTTTATTGTTACATTACTTCTAACTAAATCCTCTCTTTTTAAAAAAATACAAACTTTAATTCTCCTCGTCATGTGCCCATTTTGGAACCGGAACAGAGCCACACTGCACAAATTGGCCTGTTATTAGCTTAAAAGTCCAGTTTTACAGCCAATGTATAACAACCTACTGATTGATGTATTTATTCACATCCTTAAGTGTTCTGTATTAGATGTGCTCTGTGATCATCTATAAAGGGTAGAGTGACATTAGCAACTTCATTCATTCGGTCCATTATACAAAAAAAAATGGTTATGGGATAAATTAGAGAGTACCTTGGTTTGTGACTTGTCTGACAGATATCTGTGCTTCTCTTGCACAGACTGTTCTCAAGCCATCTTGGAACTGTCAGTTGTTCATGGTTTGATTGCAGGTTGCTGGCGCAGTAATTTTCTTTTACAAAGAGGGAACTTTTATCAGTATTAGGACATGGAAATGTGTTCCAATATTACAACAACAACAAAATTGCATTTATAGAGCGCCTTTCACGTTGGGAGTATGTCCCAAGACCTGGACATTCAGGGGTCAGGACCCGAGCTTGGGGAAGAGGTGGGGTAGGGGTGAGGGAAAGCAGAGAGGTGGGAGAGCGACTGAAGGCACGATTGAAGAGGAGAGTCTTGAGACCGGTCTTGAAGGAGGCAAGGGAGGAAGCGAGGCGAAGGGACTGTGGGATAGATTTCCAGATTGTAGGGGCAGAGAGGCTGAAAGCCTGTCCACCGATGGTAGGGCAGGTCAGGGGTGAGACATGGAGCAGACCAGAGCCTGCTGAACGGAGGGAGCGGGCAGGTTGGTAGGGAGTCAATACAATAGGTATTTCAAACAAAAGTTCCCACGGCCTTGCCCCCTCCTACCTCAGAGAGGTAGGAGGGGGCAAGGCCATGGGTGGCTTTCAAAGTGAGGACGAAGATCTTGAATTTGATCCTCTGGGGAATGGGGAGCCAGTGGAGTCGGCGAGGGTAGGAGTGATGGGGTCACGAAGCCTGGTACGCAAGAGTACACAAGCTGCAGAGTTTTGGATGATCTGCAGCTTGTGAAGGGAAGAGTTGGGTGTCATCTGCATACATGTGGAAATTTACTCCATGTCTGCGGATGATGCCATCAAGGGAGAGCATGTGAAGAGGAGGGGACCGAGGACAGAGTCCTGAGGAACGCCGCACGAGACGGTGCGGGGACTGGAGGAGAAGCCATTTGCTGAGACGAAGTGGAGGCGGTGTGAAAGGTAGGACCTGAAATAGTCAAGGGATAGAACTTTGAAGGTTGAGGTGGGAGGAGAGGCGGTGGAGGAGGATTGAGTGGTCTACAGTATCAAAGGTGGCGGAGAGGTCGAGGAGGCAGAGGGAGCCCTGGTCACACATGGTCAGGATGTCATTTGTGACCTATTAGCTCCATTATTCAGCCAAGAACATAAAAGGTAAACTACCGAGAAGCGGCTGCAGTCTCTTTATTTTTTCCAACTTGCCCCTGGGGCAGGTACATGTTATTTTTATACACCCTACAGATTATTTGCTTGCCTTTAGACAGGTAAACAATAGGTATTTCAAACTCCGTCTATATTTAAACAAACATGATAAGGGGCTTCCTCTCATTGGAGTCTTTAATTCCTGTGAAAGGAATGAATAAGCTGGAAATAGAGAAAAGCAGCATTGCCTCCATAAACGCTGAGCAGGAAAGAATGAAGAGAGGTTAAAAACACTTGTGTTTAAACTTTACAAGCATGCTACCCCCATCCAGAGTCTGATCCATTTAAAATAAAAACACAGAATAATTGTTGCATTTGATACAATGCCCTATCAAGTCAAGACGTCTCAAAATGAAAAGATGTATCAAATAACATTTTCTGTTTTTAAACAAAGTGTTTTTGAACTTTTGATTGGTAGTGCAAATTGGTGGAAAATGTCTAAACGCACTAAAATTTTCCCAGACTGAGGTGGATAATATTTATTAACAACAACAACTTGCATTTATATAGCGCCCTTCACGCGATATATCGTTGCAGAGCGCTTGAAATTGGAGTCTGACACATAATAATAATAATAATCCTTGCATTTAATATAGCGCTTTTCACGTCGGGAGGACGTCCCAAAGCGCTTCACAGAACACACTGTAAAGTCAATTGACTGTATACTTGTGGGCGAACGCGGCAGCCAATTGCGCACAGCAATGTTCCACAAACAGTCGTAGATTGAAAATGACCAATTTATTATTGTTTTTGGTTTTGGAGGGATTATTGTTAGGTGTGTGGAGTAAGGAAACTTGCCCAAGGTTTCACCCTGCCTGGAATTGAACTCGGGTCTCTCGCTTGCAAAGCGAGTGCTCTAACCACTGAGCTACAGGACTCCCAAGAGGAGAGGGTTGGTGACCAGAAGCACAATCAAAAAGGAAGGTCTTTAAGCGGGATTTGAAAGTGGGAGGGAGGGTCAAGGCTCAGGGATTGGGGAGAGAATTCCAGAGTTTCGGGGCGTAGTGGCTGAAGGCATGGCCACTGATGGAGACCAGAGCCAGCCAAGCGGAGGTAGTGGGTGGTGGAGTCGCTGGTAAGCAGATCGGATAGGTAGGGAGCTGCAAAGGCATGAATGGATTTGGAAACGAGTGAGAGGATCTTGAAATCGATCCGTTCGGTAATTGGAGCCAGTGGAGCCTGGCAATGACTGGTGTGATGGGGCTGCTGAGTTTTGTGCGGGTGAGTATCCTGGCAGTGGAGGTTTGAATTAATTGAGTTTTGTGTATGGTGGAGCTGAAGCATTGGAATAGTTCAGACAGGAAGTGGCGAAGGCATGGATCAGGGTTTGGGCTATGTTGATTGTGAGGTATAGACAGAAGCGAGCAATGTGACGGAGGTGTAAAAAAGCGGTCACGGTCAGGGAACAGATGTGGGGTAGAAAGGAAAGTTGGGGATAGAACCTGATGCGTAAGTTGCGCACAGGTTGATGAGTCTGAGAGAGAGCCCGGGGAGGTTGAGGACTTCAGACCCGCAGGAGAGAAGATGTTAACGGGAGCCAAAGAATATGGCTTCCGTCTTGCCAACATTCATCTGCAAGAAGTTTGCGCTCATCCAGGTCTTGTTGTACGTCAAACAAGCTGATAGGACATCAGCAGACTGGGAGTCGCAGCTGGAGGAGGAGATTTGGATGTCATTGGAAGGATGACGTTGCTCGTCAAGAGGGAGCATGTAGATAAGGAAAAGAAGGATAGAGACTTGGGGTATAAAGTAAGGGTGTCAAGGGATATGGGACAAGGGCG